AATGGTCCGTTATCGATCTTCCTTGATGATTTCACGAATTTTTTCAACATTTTCATGTGTTCGGGCCGTGGAAGGACGACCAGAACGAGGTTTGTCATCAATTGACATTTCACCATTTTTGAAACAGGAAAACCACTCTAACACTTGAGTTTTCCCCATAGCATCGTCCTTGTACGCCGTTTTTAACATTTCCAGAGTTTCTGTTCCACTTTTCCCGAGCAAAAAGCAGAATTTCACCGCCGCACGCCGTTCACGAAAATCAGCCATTGCAAAAACGACGATCACACAAAACAGTTGTCACTATAAACTCTGCCGAAACTAGTCCTTACCTTCTGAAGCAACAGTAGTTGGCTTATCGACTCAGGAATGTTAGCTCTATGCGCTCATAGCGGCAAAACGCGGTACTACAAAAGCTCTGCCCACAAAAAAATTAGTTCGGTTTCTTTTGGGTACCCCATCGTACAGCAATGCATTTCAGCATGATGATAAAATTAGGTTCTGTAGAGGTGTATATTTATTATGAAGTTGTTTATTTTCATGACACTGCATTTACATTTAGACTACATTCATTGGTACAAATGTTCTAATTGTGCCCCTTCAGCTTCTGTATACTTTAATGCTTTATGTATCAGTGAATTGATGTCCCTTCTAAGAATGTAGTATCATCCTTTCTTTATTCTGCAGCACTGAAAAGTCTGCAAAGCAGTTAATTTTTTGAACTGGTTGTTTTCTCCTTACACAAATATTTTCATGTGACCCCTGATTATTAATTCAAAGGACTGAAGTCTGGAGATCTCAGTGGTCAGGTAATTGGACTACTTCTACCAATCCATCACATGGAAATGTGTCTTTGTATCAATGGAAGGCTCTTCCCTTCTGCTGGTTTTGTCTTATACTGCTGGATAGCATGTGCTTCAGCTCTGAACATTTGCTGGTATCAAATACAAAAATATGGAATATAGACTATAGTGTGCTCTAGAAAATTATTATCATTCAGAATTTATATTTCATAATAAATTTTTCTGTACTGTTGGTGAAGTATGTATTTGAATTCCTTTTTGTCAATATTTTTCAGTTACTAGAATTATATTAACAGAGTTTCTTAGGAGAGGAAGACACTTGTCATAAGATTGGTTACCAACTGTGTTGGTCTTTTGACAGTATAGGCTTTTTTGTTAGACTTCAGGTATATCATTTTGTTGCTGCCATATTTCTTCTTTTTAGCCTGATGAGTCATCTTACATTCTTTGTATATTTCATTTAGATGTAATATTATATGTCTAAAACATCATTAAGTGTACATCATACATTACAGAAGAGAAGTCCTGTGTATTCAACAGAATCTCTGGTATGGTGATTTGAATGTATTTTAACCTGTTTTTTTCCAGTTTATTATTTTTTTCTGTGTTGTGGAAGGTAATAAGAAATAAATAAAGTGTATTTGAATTATCTGATTTTTAAAATTGAAATCTATACAGTTCTATTGTCTTTTTTTTAAGTAGAGTTTACATATTTGTCGCTCTTGTGTATTCGTATCTATTTCTATGTCTTTACATAAGAAACCCACAGTTGTGAGACAGTAAAATATGGTGGTGAGTCCTGTGGGACTTGGAACCAAAAATGGCTGTGCTGGCGAGGACCAGCAGCAATTTACCCTACCTGATCCAAGCTGAGAATGAATTAGTTGATTTGTATGTATAACTGACTTTGCAACAGGAACTGTTCTTAGTTACTCAAGTTTGATCTTTAAAGCCTTTATAAATTTCAGATTAATATATGTGAAATATTTTCTTGTACTTAAGTACCACTGTGCAAATATTACATGGTACTACATTACTGGCTCGTGCATTTTGTAGATCATCAAATACTTTCAGTAGTTTTGTATCATATTTTTAACTTTTTTCTTTAACTACAGGACATTCTACCAAAATAAACAATGTTTTATATGTACAGAGCACTTTTGTTTCACTTCAGGGCTGTGGTGTTGGAGTAACAGTCATACTAAAAATAAATCACATCTTCAAGACCATGTTAGAATGTTAAAGAGATGTTATTTTACAGCTAGAGATGGGGGAAGGCATGGTGTAATGCATTGGTCTGATACTGCAAGCACTGTGGCTCAAAAACAGGTCATGTTTCTGCAGAAGTCAGGTCACCAGAAAAGGACTTCAGTTGTCAGAGGTGACATGGAACCAGATAGCAGTGAAAGTGACATACATCCATTGAGTCAAGCTGCTTATTGGTACAGGCATTCTGGCTCAGTTCAAGGAGGTAGTAACAAGTTCCACCTGTGAATGGATCAACATGAGATATTTAACACAGCTTGGGAGTGGAGTAACACAGTGGACAATATACAGGACCAGAGGAATTTCCTTATTCCCTTCCAAGTGCTGCAGTGGATCGCGAACAGTGTTGTTCATAACACTACTAATTGCTCGAGTAGGATAACTGGTGGATGGTTGCTGCTTGTAACCAGCCCAAACTAATTTCTCTTCTCTTTTAATAATTTTGGTGTTGCTATTATACTTTGTGTTTTTATTACCTTTTTGAAGAGAGTGCTGCAGGTGTTTCACTCCTTATACTCACATTGAATCTTTAATATGAGAATCCCAAGGTTGAAAATGTGGAAGAAAAAAGATTTGACATGGATAATTTGAATATCTACAGCACCCTCCGTACAATGTGACCAAGTATGGCAAGGCATCTGCAAAGCTTTGGAAGCTAACATTGCATAAAAGGGATCTTTTTCAATATATGATTGAAATCTTCAGCAGATATTTAACGAAGTTATAACATGTATTCTATTACACACTGACCTTACTGTTGTCTCTCACCACTGGTTAATAGTACTGAATTCTGTACAATTTTTTTATTTGGTAAGATGAACTTTTACACAAAGTCACATCAAGAACAAAGGCATTAGTAGCGAGTTTTATGTTAATGCTTTTATTCAGTAGCTGTGATTAGTGGTTTCTAATAATAAATCTTATGTTGTCTGATAAAGTATTACTATATGGAATGGCACTCTATGTTCAAGCTCATGAAATAACTATCACAGGTTTTTAATTACCCATAACTCACAAGCAGCACAACTTCTGTGATTTAAATTCTTAGAGGAAGGGAAGTAAATGTACAAAGCTTTGAAATTATTGTGTAAATTGAGGAAAATGGAATTTAGATATGTTTTCTTCTGTTGGCCTTTAGTGCTGCTAGTTGGCTGCAAGATATCAGCTATTTAAGAAACAACTAGTAGCATCAGGTTCGAAGAGATGATTTCACAAGGAGTAAGATCCAGTTCATCTTGCTGAATTTCCTGTTCCATAGATTATAACTGTAAACAAGATTTGTAGCCCAATACCCTGAAATGTTTACAGATGGAAACATTTGAAATTATAGATATTGTACTAATGGAAGTTGTGTTGTCTCTGCTAGTCCAGAAACATGTTTAACATGTAAGAAGTGTTTTCATTCTACTCATTCTAACACCTAAATATTTTTATTTTACTTGGCCTTATAGTCAACACCTTTCATGCCCAGATTATGTTAAAGTGTTGCTTTCCCAGTAATAGATCAACAAATTTTTAATCAATATAGCTTCCATCACAAAACACAAATTAATCCTCTGAAATTAGGTAATGGCTGTTCCTGTGAAATAACCATGACAGAAAGCCTGCATATATTATATGTGAATTGTTATTTAGATGTAAACACTTGCCTGCAGGTGGATATACACCTCAGAGGCCACATCCATGTGAGCAGAGTTCATGCTATCCAGCAACAGGAAACCTGCTGATTGGTCGAGAACCTCGCCTGTCTGCTTCCTCGACCTGTGGTTTATATGCACAGGTTAGTGCAGCTTAGAGATCAAGTGATTTATAATGGCACAGTATTTATATGTGATTAATTCATTACTCACCGGAGCCATTTTGAAGAGTAATAATGGCTGTAGTGTGAAATAGACCCCTAACTTTTTTTCTTTTCAGAAGTGTGAGAATGATGGAGCCTTGCTTTCAACATATGGTGTTAAGCACAGAGGTAGCTTCTTAGTCCTCATGAAATGGAATTGAAATTTTAAAATATTTATGATTCAACATTGATCAATTAATTTTATATCGGAGCATGAAGAAATATTATATTTCTTATATTTATGTCCTATGTATCATTTAATTGCAGTTCTTATTTTATGGTGGGAAGTCGTTAACCTCCTCTCAAGCTCCAGGCTGCAGGATTCCTCTTGTCTGCTGTATGTGAATGCTTATTCACTATATTCTTTATCTGGGAAAACTTGGTATAACATTCAATTCATAATCTTTTGTCTTCTCCAACTGCATCCATTATGGAAGAGTTATTTGATGCAGGAGTTCAGGTTCCAGTTATGAAGGTCTTTGGCTGCCTTGATCCTAGATTTTGCACCCTGTGAGAATGTATCCCAGTTTTTTTTTTTTTAATATAGTGTACAGTTGTTCATTCCTTTTAAATTTGGTTCAAAGATCATGCTGAGTTCATTCAGGATGGTGATGTGGTTGCTTTCCCATGAATCGAGGCCAACCCTCAAGCAAAAATATTGGTGGTCCTCCTCATTTACTATGATCAAGTTGATGGAGGACTCCTTATTCAAAGCATGACCGTGATAGTGGTTCATCAATCATTGAGTATAACTATGGCATGCAAACTACAGCTCTGGGTGATCGCCATCCCTTTGTGATGAACTTTCTTATACCCCACCCAAGCCTTTTCCTTCACCTGGCTTTCATTGTTTTCCTCTGCTTCTGTGCCTTGTCCTGGTATGTTTGTCTGTAACATTTGTAATTTTTTCATCCCAGTGACATAGAGGGATGGGTTCTCTATTCTAATCCTTTCTAGAAGCTCTTCAGTGCTGATATCCATTGGAATACCTCTGATGATTCCCCTTTTAACTTTCACTCTTCCAGAATGAACGTTTCTAATTTGTTTTCCTTAATCTCTATACAATCTACAAGACTGTTTGCCATGTTGCGCAAGCCGAAGAGCACTGTCCAGCATCATCTGAAGTCCTGGAAAATTTTGTGATGGTCAGTACCTAGCTTTTCCAACAGCGTCCCAATGTCCACCACACTAAGGTTGCTCTTAGGGTCAGAACCAGCAGGGCAGATTAACACTTTGAAAGATTCAGTGCTAGATTCATCATATTTGTAAACTGGCTGTTGGTTTTGATTTTGTTCTGAGATTGTTTTGCTTGGGATTTTCCTATTCTTGTCCTCTAGGTACCCCTTGTTCTGCATGGGGGGACCCTCTGCTCTTTCCAAGCCAATCCCATCTTCTTCCATTTTCTCAAAATCCTTGCTCTCTTCCAGCTTGTCTTATTTGATGGGTAGCATCTTTGCCTTCTTTTAAAGTTTTCCTTTGTGTGACTTTTGGCTTATTCTCTTCTGTATAACCATCCCTCCATTGATGGCTGTTAGCAGGTATTGCCAAGCGTTTTTGGCTACTTGATGTAACTAGGGCCACCTTGGTTGTGATGATCCTCACCTCTCACAGCTGCTACCTCCATCGCTGTGGCTACCTCCAATTCTCTTCTTGTTATCACTGTGGCCACCTTCTGCAAGCTCATTGTGGAATGAGCAGGTTGACTTGGGAAGGCAGGAAGTGAAATTTGGGCGCCAGTAAGCATGCTTGAATCACTTACAAGTGGAAGGATAACCTGGCAGGTGGGTATTGAATCCATTCAGCTTTCTCAGGAAGAGATGGACTCTGTCTTAGGGCATATCAGGCCTCACTCTGGCAGGCCGGGAAGAAGATGGTGTTCACTAATATCACGAACACTTCAGCTACACCACTCCATTTAAGTATTTCTTTATTGAGCTTATAATCTTGACAATGTTTAGCAATTCGTGGATGTTGAGACACCGTTTCGCTTCCATATCCCTCTGAATCTCAGAGACAACTCCTTTGGGGAATGGGCTCTCTGAAGTAACAAACCCTCTGAGTCCAAACTCCCAAAAGGAAGCTCTCCCTGAAACTTGCCCTATTGGCCCAGTTCAGATTCTGGAAGTTCTTCAGATATTTGCATCTGCCAATAAAAATTGCTCTAGTTCTTAATTACTTAACTGCCCCTTTGGAAGCTTGATGATAAATTTGATAAATTCCTCTCAGCGTAGGCGTTTGGATCCCCTATCGCTTGAGTGATAGGTAGCAATAACTGTCAAAGCTTCCTCTTCTCAAAGGAGTTCTGTTCTAGTTTGACAGCATTATTCAGGAAGTGTTGTGAATGCTACATCCTGTCCGTCCATCAAGGATGAACCCTTGTCGCTTCTGAAAGTACTGTAGTGAATGTCACATCCTGTCCACTTCTTATCACAAAATTGGGACTAAGTGCTACATTTCTTAAATATAACTTTTACTTAAACTTTCATAATTAAGTTAATTTATAATACCTTAACTCTAATAAATGGTTACATCTGAATGCTGTTATGTGTCTGATTTATTGGTTTTCTACCAATTTTCCCTGCTTTTTTCCGTTCTTGATATTCTCTGAAACTGAATTTCCACTCACCGCTTTTGAAGGGTTCACTACATTCCTTGATAGTGTTGTCTTCTTCCTCCTAGTTTACCTCTTCCTCCAAAATGAGGTTAGAATTCACTTTGGCACTGGATTTGCTCCCTACTTGGGTCAACCTCTCATGTTAGGTTAGTGTATAATTGGAATAGGTTGTGTGACTCCCTATCTAGGTCTAGAGGCCTTGATTGGGAGTCTTGGTGATTTTATATTGAATTAGCAGAATTAAATTACTAACAGCACAGGTCTTGCCACACTCTCCACATGGAAAAACTGTCCTTTTATGAACGCTGCCTATAAGTGATGTTTGCCCCATCAGTCTGTGACTGGGTATTTGATATATTCTTTCCTGCCTTCTGTGTCTGAATCCTGGTTCTCCATCCACAACTCCAGATGTGTGAATTAAATTAGGCAGAATGTGGGAATGGGATGTGTTTGATTACTCTTGTATCTGTTATGTTTGGAGGGTTCTTGAACTGAATTACAGTGCTTCTATATGGTTTGACTCAGTTCCTCTAAGTGGTAGCAGTCTGTTTCTACCTAACTGACAGTTTTCAGCTTTGATCTCGCTAAGCTATTTATCATCAAGAAATGTACAGGCTGCTCATTTTTGTTGTGATACTACTATTGTTTGTTCATGAAGATGATGATGGTGGCAATGGCGGTGACTCCACATGCAAATACTTTCATAATTAATGGAATTAAAGAACGTTCCACAGAATTCTTTACAAAAGGTCAAATGTAGCCCATGTGTATACTAGTTGGATAGGCTGGCTATGGGTAGTAGTAATAAAGTTAAACCTTTTATTTCTTTGTAGGAGCGGTATTGTATTGTATCACATTTAGAAGACCATAAGAAGTGTTTCTGGTGTGATTCTCGGCCACAGAATGCAAATAATCCACGACTCAGCCACCGTATAGAAAATATTGTATACCGTTTTGCCCCAGGGTGAGTAGATGTGTAAGAAATACTTGTGTTATAGTGTACTGAAATATACATTTTCAGCGAAGAGCATGGTATTATTTAAATGTCATCAGTAATGGTAATATTTTGGCTAAAGCTTCTGGTTTACCTTTGGCCATTTAGTATTATGTTTGTACTGGAATGGTACTGAAAAATCTGTGTTTGCATTAACAGAGTTTATAATTTGTGGAATTCCACTTGAACGTTTTATTATTATTCAGATGTGTTTAAACTCACAAGATTGTTGTGGAAGTATAGAATTCCCATAAGTAATTATATTTTATGTTGGTCATTCTTATGATATTATTATCATTTCCATCAAATCTGCAGTAAATGTAATACCTTTTGTCATGTCAGTCACATGGTTGCATGTAAATGCATTTCTATTTCTATCATTTTTTGTAAGCCAACTTAAAAGAAAATTAAGTTTATCATCTTTTAGTTTCTGAAGTCTGTCATTGGAGTGCACAGAATGACAGTGTTGCTTATTATTATGAACAAATGTGAGATTTTCATGTGTCACCAAAGTATATTTGGTCAAATTAAACAAATATAAATCAGTACTAGGATGTGAAAGAGGAAGGTGAGACTTACTTTGATATGACATAATTTTTGTTACTAGTATTTCTTTTTTGAAAACATTTTGTTTTTAAATCATGCATAAACAAAGGAAGTTCATGTCAGAATTCTACAATTTTGTAATTTTATAAGCAAACATGTTGATAATAAAGTAGTAAATATCCAATACTGTGATAGAATTTAAAGGTTTTTATACAGGATGATTTTTTGAAATGAGAACTCAGTATTAGGAATGTTTAATAACATCATGTATTACAGGGCCATGTCTATTTTAACGAAATCTGTATATGCATTATGGTGATTCTCTTTAAATGGGAACTTTGTTTAGAGTAAGGTGTTCACAGTACATCTTGTTACAAAAAGTTATGAAAGTGTTCACCAGCATGTTGCATATATGTGGTAGAGTCATTAAGTTCATGGAATGTGGTTTTATTGCATCATAATACAAGGTATTCACATACACTTACACAGATTCTCATCGGCCCTCAAAATAGGTGCTGTTGGTGACTATGCAAGTCTGCCAACGTCAATATAGCTGCTGAAAACATTGCTGAAACATATTGGCAGGAAATTCCTGTACAGTGTCTCTTGTGGCAATGACCACCACCTCAGATGACTGAAATCTACGACCACGTAGCTTTGCTTTCAAGCATTGAAAGAGAAAGAAATCACATGGTGCGAGATCAGGAGAGTATGGAGGGTATGGCAAAACGGTGACCTGTTGCCTTGTCATTTCCTCTTGGACAAGAACAGAGCGATGTGCAAGGGCGTTGTCACGTAGCAACAGCCAATTCTTCCTATGCCAAATGTTTTGCCAAGGGATTTGCCTAGTTTTTGGCAGAACTTGATGTTTGCCCTTTGTTCAAACTGCCACATTTTCGATTTCCACCACTTGCATTTAACTGCATTTCACAAGATAGATCATAGTTCTACTTACATTGTTTGCACACAACTGCCTCTTGCTGTGACGAGAGATGAACCGACAGGGCATCATATCATGCCTCAACCTATCCACTGTAATGCACTGCAATGATGCTTTGTGGCCATTCCACGAACTTATTGACTGTGGTAGTATAATTGAGCATGATGAAGTGGGTTTATAGACACCGTCCCTAGCATTTGGGTGAAATNGAATTTACTTGCTTTGTATTTCTCTTTTTCCTAGCTTCTTTTGGTTTAGCTATTTTAAGGGCCATTTGTATGTAAAAAAAGTAAAAGTAAGTAAAGCTATCCCTGTACCAGGCTGTGAAAGTCCATAGGGTTGTGAGACATTGAGGGTCTCACATTATCTAGACAATCAGCTCAAAGATGGCGGCGGTAAGGTTGTCAGCCTTATGCGCCAGCTGCTCTTTACTCCCCAGGAAAATTATTTAATTAATTCCTGGTACTTATTTATGTTAGAGGCCATAGTGCGGCTGGAAGGATTAGGTCAATTGAAAAAATCCAATGACCACATCGGGACTTAAACCCGTGACCTTCCGAGTTGTAACAGAGCCCCTCAACCAACTACACTACATTTGTGCGTAATAAAACAGATTTTTAATGACTTCTGTTAAAAATTATGATTTACAGAACTCGACAGCGATCTTGGTGGCAGTCTCAGAATGGAGTAGAAAATGTTACCATTCAGTTAGATCTAGAGGCTGAGTTTCATTTCACACATTTGATAATCACCTTCAAAACATTCAGACCTGCTGCTATGTTAATAGAAAGATCTTATGATTTTGGGTTAACGTGGCAGGTAAGCAATATTGACATCATTTTAAATATTCTTTTATCAGATGATGAAATTATTTTTAGATTAATAAAATTTGATACATACATGACTTTCAGAGGCTTAAGTTGAATACACTTGGTATTTTTGAACACATTTAAACATCCATATTTTTATATTACAGGTGTACAGGTATTTTGCTTACAATTGTGATGAATCTTTCCCAAATGTACCAAAGCATAACCCCAGAACATTAACAGATGTTGTCTGTGAGTCAAGGTACTCAAATGTGGCACCGTCAACTGATGGTGAGGTAAGTATACTTTATATGGTTTGCCTTTAAAATGAATGAGAAGATGAGTACATGTGACAGGATTACATGGTGTCATCATTAAAGCATAAGAATTCTTTGTTACATTGTTACATAATGATATTATGTAACGTGTAAGAGCAGGGAATGCTAGACTAAAAGCAATGGCTAATGCCAACCTCTTTGTCATCAGGGCATGAACAGTGTTAACACAGATGTCTACCAGTATAATCTTATCTTTGGCAGTTCAGTACAGTTCATATCATCATACCCTATTTCCTGGAGATTCATTATGATGTTTTATCTTTTCATCCCTGTTCTCTAAGTGGACATTTTCCAAAATTATGTACATATTATCAGGTGTATGTGTGTGACTATATTTGGGGTTTGGGTTGGTCATCAGATTTGTTGGACACTATAACACACAACTCATGACTACACTATACTGTCACACACAAACAAGTGTTCTCAGTTACAGTCTTCATTGCACTTCTTGATAGCTGCTTCCGATGGTGTAGTGTCCTTGGCTTCCATATCCAGCAGCTCCTGTTTTTGCTGGCTGACACCTTTCTGCTGCAGCTTTTGAGGTGAACTAAGTGGCTTTCAATTGTCAAACTAACTCACAACACATAATTGACTCCTTATATAGCCTTGGCATGGACTGTATAGAAAATACTTCTCCAAACCGTTCTTCAATTTTTGCATTACATACCTATTGATGCAGACTGTGTAAAGAACACCACTTCCCAGTTACTCCATTGTTGCATGTTAGGAAGCTGTTACCTAGCAATGGGCATGTTTGCAGAGCTGTTCCTTAGCAATGACTGTTTGCTAGTTTCAGAATTCTGGCTTTCAGGAGACATGTCACAATATTTTACTTGATTTCTTGAGTGCTTTAGCTGAATTCTCTGTCTGTCATATGTTCTTTATTTAATTGCTGTTCAAAACTAGGTGAAGAATGAAGTTCCTTGTTTTTTATAATTTTATGCATTTCCTGCTTTATCTCATTTAGTTTTGTAGACTATCATTAGCACTTTATTTCAGCTCTTTTAGTTAATGTTATTCCTATAGGATATGGAAGTGTTCCACAGCCATGACAACAACAAGTAAAATAACTGTTTTCTATGTAGGATAAAATATTTTTGATTAGGCCCATATGTGTACATTCATGGATGTGTTGAGACACAGACATGTGCAAGTATGTATGTGTGTATGAATCAGCAATGCATATGAAGAATTATATGAGATATGATAACATAAAACTCATTAACCTTAGACAAAGATTTCAGCCAGAGGAACTTGTTCCATTTATGCTAAAATGCTCTGAAATATGCTTGTTATTCAGGCAGACACAACTGTATGGAGGGTTTGACAGTTTGTATTTTCTGTAATTTCCAAAGCGCACGCACATATATCTGTGAGAGAGAGAGGGGGGGAGACCTCCTGTACTCCCACAGAACCTAACATATATTTTGAGATTTCTTCTGCCACTGCCTTGAGTGAACCTGCCCTGTACATACTGCTAACATTCCAAGTACCAAATCTCGTATCCATTTTCTTTCGCCTAGGTCATTTATCCACAGAATACACCAGGTCCAAGGTTTCTGGAACATTTTTGTAACCCCAAACCTGGAGGACCACCCCTTGACAGCTGTCCACGACTGCTTATTCAGTATATTTGCAGCTTTCCTCCATACCTGGTGGAGGGCTTCTCATCCTTCCACAAACTGAGGATGCGCCATGCCATAGTGACAAGAGACCCACCAAAGTCCAGAACCTTTTGTCTTCACGTCTTCTGTCTAAAAACACAGAAATTAGAATATACAAAACCATAATTTTGCCTATGGTTCTGTATGGGTGTCAAACTTGGTCTCTGACATTAAGGGAGGAACATAGACTGAAGGTGTTTGAGAACAGGATGTTGAGGAGAATATTTGGACTGAAGAGAGATGAAGTAACAGGAAGTTGGAGAAGACTGCATAATGAGGAGCTTCATGACTTGCACTCTTCTCCAAGTATAATTAGAATGATCAAGTCAAGGAGGATGAGATGGGCAGGGCATGCAGCATGAATGGGGGAGAAGAGGAATGTATAAAGGGTATTGGCGGGAAAGCCAGCTGGAAAGAGACCACTGGGAAGACCAATGGGCAGACAATATTAAAATGGATCTTAGAGAGATAGGGTCAGATGGTATGGATTGGATCAATCTGGCTCAGGATAGGGACCAGTTGAGGGCTCTTGTGAACATGGTAATGAACCTTTGGGTTCCATAAAATGCTGGGAAGCTCTTGAGTAGCTGCACAATTGGCAAGTTCTCAAGAAGGGCTCAGCTACATGATTGAGTGAGTAAGACTGATGTTTTTCTCAATTTGTGTGTCATGTTCATATTCTGCAGAACTGGTTTTAATCCTAATGGAAGTAACATTCCTATCAACACATTAATTTGAAATGTGTTGATATGGATGTTATTTCCATTAGGATTAAAACCAGTTCTGCAGAATATGTAGCATGATAATAATTCCACCAGAGTGCAGCAAAATATATAGATTATAAATTGGCGCAGGTTGTCACTGTTCATGAAAAGAAAGATCTATTGCTGCATGCCTTCTTAGCTTTTGTTAGGAACCAGTGAAAATGAATATTATTTTGTTAATCTCCTTGTAATTAGAACACAGTGTAAATTAAATTTTTTGAAATTCAAGATTTCTTTTAATAACTCTGTCTTATACGAGCTTTATATATGCTCTGTTGTGTGTGTTTCTATAGTGATCTTTGTTTTCAATGCAGATTATCTTCCGAGTATTGCCACCCAACCTTCCGATTGATGACCCATATTCACAGGAAGTACAGAATCTGTTGAAGATGACAAATCTTCGTATTAATTTCACTAAATTGCATACTTTGGGTGATGATTTGCTGGACAACAGAGAAGAAATTCAGGTGAGAATTTGGTGAATCAAAGTAGAAGGTTTAACTTTTGCAGAAGTGTTTCACTGCTTACTGTGTTTCATCATTCAGCATTAAATAGAAATGGTCAAAGTATGCTGTCAATACAGATTCTTTATTTAAGAAAGAATCCGTCAAGCCCACAAAAGGTTTTATCCTATAAGACCATTTTCAGGTGGTCCTACAAGACCAAACCATGTTATGGAGTTTCTTTGATGATATGGTATGATAATTATAGATTTACACAAACAGGTTTGAACCTTATGAAACAGAAACACAACATTTAATTCTCACATATATGTAATTGAAATGAAAGTAAAATAATTCAGCGTTTCAGTGTCTTTTTGTACTTACATGTGGAGATTAAATAAAATTATTAATGAATATTAAAAATTTAATTTTTGACCAGGCTGAGTTAAAAAGTGTTTGAATATTTCTGTTGTCTCAACCATGAGTTCAGTTGGTCTTTAAAATCTGAATGTTCTTTAGTTTTCTTGATATTCTGTATCTTGTTCTTATTGACATCATTTCTGTGGCTAGTAGAATGTTGAAATGATAAAAAGTAATAATCTTAAAATAAACCCTCATTTGAATATTGTGTAAAGTTTTATTATGTTATGATGTTCAGTCCATATAGTGCCTTGGAACCTATATGAACAAACTGTATAACATTTGCGCACCATATGAACTAAACGTGCAAATGAAGTAGAACTGGATTCTTAAAATGAAGCTGGATGTACGAAGGTATACAGCAGATATAGAACTTGGAATGAATGAAGTATGATGTATCTTCTAATTTAACATATATGACATTGTGACAATGTAATGTTCATCAGTCAGCTGATATTCAACAAGTGTAGTACATCTCATGTTTGCATAGGAAATATTTAACAAACATTGATGCTTTGAACTGGGGATTACTGTAGTAGAAACTAAGATGCTGTAGAAAGAAGTGTGTTCATAAATACAACAGTGTTTCTTCTCAATGCTAAGTTAGAGTGAAATGTTTTTGTGTCATTTCTTTTGGAATCTCCTGCCCTTAATGAGACTGACTGAAGAGCTTGTAATCTACATCCTCACATAAAATCTGATTATCAGTTGTATTTTCACTCTTTTTGCACTTGCAGTACCCAAGTTCAAACTTGAATTCACAAGGGGATGGATGATATCTTGAAAAATTCTAATACACAATGTTTTGAATTTGAAACCACTTCTATTAGGCCATCTGGACCTTGTTTAATGTTTCTATGCTTACAAAGACAGAAGTATATCAAGTTTCTAAAACAAACTTATTTTCCATTAAACTTTAGAAAATGTAAGTATTAGATGAAGTGACAGGAGGTTGGAGAAAATTGCATAATGAGGACCTTCATAACGTGTACTCTTCTCCAAGTGTAATTAAAATGATAAAGTCAAGGAGGATGAGGTGGGCAGGGCATGTAGCACGAATGGGGGAGAAGAGGGATGCATATAGGAGGGAAAGCCAGAAGGAAAGAGACCACTGGGAAGGCCGAGGCACAGGTGAGTGAGCAATATTAAAATGGGTCTTAGAGAGATAGGATGGCATGGTATGGATTGATTCTATCTGGCTCAGGATAGGGACAAGTGGAGGGCTCTTGTGAACATGGTAATGGACCTTCATGTTCCATAAAATGCTGGAAATTCTTGAACAGCTGCAGAATTTATGGCTCTTCAAGAAGGGCTCAGCTCCATGAGTAAGTAAGTAAGAGTATTTTATGAAGAATCCCAGATTGGAAGTGATGGATTTTGATTTTTAATTGTGTTTCAGGAGAAATACTATTATGCAATCAATGACATGATTGTGCGGGGGTCATGTTCATGCTATGGACATGCTTCTCGTTGCTTGCCGCTTCCTGATGTTGAGCCACGAACAGACATGGTTCATGGACGTTGTGAGTGCACGCACAATACAAAGGGTCTTAATTGTGAACATTGTGAGGATTTTTACAATGACCTGCCATGGAAACCAGCAATTGGCAAGCAGACAAATGCATGCAAAAGTAAGAGCAATGTTACTAGATGCATTCAAACAGATAAAAAATTTTTGTGGAGAAATGTTATGGAATGAGACTTTGGAATAATTAAGGTTTATACAGGAGAATAATGGTGAAAATGACCTTAAGGTAATTACTTGTGAGTGTATGTAATTAATTGAGCGGACTTAAAGTGATATTAGTAGGATTCTTTTGTGATGGTTATGAACCTGCAGAAATTTGCAATGATAGGGAGAAAGTAAGTAATATGATTAAATGAAAATATTATTATGCAGTGAGAGAGAAAGAAGTAATGATATTTGTGTAACTCTCTAAATTTGTTTCTAACTTTGACATCTGTAGACGTATTACATTTAACCCTCTCTCAGATATCAGAAGAACCAGATCTGTTATTAATATTTCTTTCTGTATGCACCTAAAATTTATATTCTCCATACCAATGTTTCCAAAACTTCTTTTGCTGCATAATCTTTTTGGTTCTGGAGAAACTTAATGAATCTCCAGACCAGTACAACACATATATGAAAAATTAAATCTGATGGAACATGTGTTCAACTAACATCAAGAAAAAATCTAATAAAAGAAATTAAAGCAGAGCATATTGTGACTAAATTATTTGATTTGAAGTGAAATTTGTTATGACTTCTTTGGGTTCAAAAACATAATTTCAGTAATTTTTGGGGGCTCTATTTTGAACCATTATTCACTTACTTATATTGCACTGTACATGGTGATTCTAAATGCTGTGGCCAAACTTAGGAGACTGTTGGGGAAATAATTTTGAGCAGAAAATGTAAATGAATTATTGTTCCATATGTAATTCTTGTCAGGTTATGTTTCATCACTTTTTAACAAAATGAAATATTTCTCCATTTATATATACTGTACGTTGGTCATGATTAATGTCTTTATTTATTACTTTCAATTAAAATGAATGAAAAGCAAAGATTGCACGGTCATTAGCTCTTTTCAGTTTGAATTCTGCATTATGTTTAATTCTATTTGGAATAAGGAAGAATTGCCTGACCAGTGGAAGGAGTCTATTATTGTACCTATTTACAAGATGTGTGATGAAACCAACTGTAGTAATTATTGTGGGATATCACTCTTATCAACTTCATACAAAATTGATCAAATATCCTTCTCTCGAGGTTAAGTCCATATATAGATGAAATAATTTGGGATCATCAGTGTGGGTTTTGACATAACAGTTCAACTACTAATCAGATTTTTGCATTTGTCAAATACTGGAATAAAAAAGGGAGTACAGTGAGACAGTACCTCAGCTATTCGTAGACTTCAATAAAGTCTGTGATTCAGTTAGGAAGGATGAATTGTACAGTATTCTCATAGAGTGTAAGGTACCCATGAAACTAGTTAGGCTGACTAAAATGTGTTTAAATGAACTGTATAGTAAAGCCCAAATAGGTAAACATTTGTCTGTTAAGTTTCCTTTCAAAAATGGTCTAAAACAAGGAGATGCTTTATTGCCATTGCCTTTGAACTTTGCTATAGCATTAGGAAGGTCTAAGAAAACCAGGTGGGACTGAAATTAAATGGGACACATCAGCTGCTGGTCTGTGCTGATATTGTGAATATATTGGGAGATAATATATATACCATAAAGAAAACACAGAAGCTCTGATTGATTTTAGTAAGGAGTTTTGTCTAGAAGTAAACAGAGAAAACTGTTTCATCACAAGAATGCAGAGCAAAATCATAACATAAAGATAGCTAACAGGTGATTTGAAAATGTGCCACAGTTCAAATATTTTGGAGTGAAGGTAAAAAATCAAAATTTGATTCATGAGAAAATTAAGAGGAGACCGAATCTGGATAATGCTTGCTACCATTTAATCCAGAACCGTTTGTCTTCTCATCTTGTGTAAGAAAATGTAAAAGTCAGAATATACAAAACTATAATTTTGCCTATGGTTCTGTATGGGTGTGGTGAAACTTGGTCTCTGACATTAAGGGAGGAACATAGACTGAATGTTTTTCAGAACAGAATGTCAAGAGTATTTTGAGTGAAGAGGGGTGAAGTGACAGGAGGCTGGAGAAAACTGCATAATGAGGAGTTTCATAACTTGTTCTCTTCGCCAAGTATAATTAGAATGATCAAGTCAAGGAGGATAAGATGAAGAGAGCATGTAGTGTGAATGGGGAGAAGAGGAATGCATGTAAGATATTGGTGGGAAAGCAAGAAGGAAAGAGACCACTAGGAAGACCAAGATGTAGGTGGGTGGATAAAATGGAAGTGGATCTTAGAGAGATAGGATGGGGTGGTATGGATTGGATTGATCTGGCTTGGGATAGGGACCAGTGGAGAGTGTGTGTTACATCATTTTACTTTGGCTAAATCATATTTTAATCCAAATCAGATGGCACTGGAAAGTTGTATACACTGCTGCAGGTCTTGAAACCAGAATTCAAATAATTTGGTTCAGGTCGACAGATGAAAATGAATAATGCCATGAACTTGTAACATCCATGTTCCTATATTCGTCATTTTTCCTCATCTCAAACTACATCATTTTTTCAACTTAAAATATTCGATAAAAGTAAATATTAGGTTAAGTTAGTGATTGAAATTATAGTACATGTATGTATTTTGTGCTGGAGGTATGTAAATACAGCATAAAATACTTGAACATATTAGAATTATATTTAATGAGATTATTGTTAGTGATTAGTATTGGATTGCAGATAAATATGATTTTGGGTGGGAGTGGACTGGATTTATCCAGCAGAGGACAGAGACCAGTGTCAGGCTCTTATGAACACAGTAATACACCTTCAGGTTCCATAAAATTCTTTGAATTTCTTGAGAGGCTGAGCAGATGTTGGATGCTCAAGAAGGTCTCAACTCTTTCAAGTTAATTAATTGCTGTTTCCTATCACTTTCTGTGGTTGTGATTTGGCTTGTTTGATAGAGACAATTGAAATGCTTTTGATTTTGCAGAGGATGAATCTGAATTGATTTTAGAGAAGGTGATGCATGCTCCATTCAGTCATTTGGCACAGGATGATCCTGTTACTCACTTATTTGGTTGATTAATTGGTTAATAAGCTGGTTGGCTGTATATTTGCTTATGTCGTCCTGTGGTCTCATACACAGGATTACATTTGTTGCTTGTTTTCTGTAATGTGACATAATGCATTCATGTCTCTTTCAGGATGCAACTGTAACAACCATGCTACAAGTTGCCACTTTGATGCTGCTGTGTATGAGCTGACAGGGCAAGTAAGTGGTGGTGTTTGTGATGGCTGTCTCCACAACACAATGGGCAGGAATTGTGAACAGTGCAAACCATTCTTCTACCAAGATCCTGACAGAGAAATAACAGACCCAGAAGTTTGTTTATGTAAGTTGTGCCATTAATATTTGTAACCGAATATGCTGGATTACCTAAATTATGAAAAAGAGATATAATTTGAGAGCATATAATTTTTTGCACTTGCTATCAAGAAGTTTCATTAGACTTCATTCATTATTAGGAAATACATTGTGTTGCTGGACCACATGAGGGAGATTTTATTTTACTTATGCTAGATTTATTTGTATGTGTAGTGTAGTAACTGTGCTTTTTTAAAAATTTGAAATAATGACCTCGAATTTTGTTACTCATACACACCTAAATTCATGTCTATTTGTAAGTACACGTGCATATGTATATGTATATTTCCTTAAATGTATTTGCTATGGAAAAATATTTTAAATCAGATGATACAACTTAGTGAGGTAGACTGTCATGAGAACAGTGATATAGTTAGATGTAAATATTTTGCTAAATTTGTGTGTTCAGTATGATTTGGGTAAATAGTACCACAGATTCCTCCTACTTTCTATGGATATGTTTCAGCCTGTGACTGTGATCCCCGTGGTTCACTGGATGATGGAACATGTGACTCACGCACAGATGTGATAAATGGTCTGGAATCAGGTCGTTGTCACTGTAAAGCAAATGTTGATGGCCGTCGTTGTGATAGGTGCAAGAATGGATTCTGGAACTTTGATGGGCAGAATCCTGAAGGTTGTGAATGTATGTATCAACTCAACTTATAATTATGAACTATAAAACAAAGTTATAGGAACAGAAATTTTACATATGTGCTTTGAGAGAGATCTATATAAATTGCCTTTATTCTGGCAGATGAAATATACTGAAATAACCCAGTTGTAGTCTTGTGTAATAAAGAGTGTTGTAATACCAGTGCAATGATGATGTTTTTGATGTGATATAATTTGTTTATATATAAGCGAATTTGCTTTGCATTTTGTAATATTTGAAGCACTGCACTCCATGCAGAAATGCTTGTGACTTTTTTGACAAGGCCAATGCTTATCCTGCTGGATTACAATCTGGAAGCTGTGTTGGTAGTGACTGATATATAAGCATCATTTCATTTTTTTTGTCATTTTGTGTTTTCTGACTTTATCCCCCCCCCCCCNGAAATTTTGTCAGAAATGCTACTTAAAATAACTGTGCTGATCATCATATTCCCAAAGTAAAATTCACCATTTTGCCAGTACATTTATGGTCAGGATAAGAAGCAGAACTTCTAACACTGCCACATGATGTGACTGCTTATATGTTTATCCTTTCCTCTTGTATGTTTTATGTGTATAGATCTTAGATTGGGGCTTATGGCAGTCTGTAAGTAATTTTTTAAATGTTGAGACATATCCTGAAATGAATTGAAATTTTATAGACTATGAAAATCATTCACCAAACAAATGCTTACAACACCAAGGAAAGTTATGGTAATCTGTGAACATTTGCAGCTTGCACATGCAACACACTGGGCACAATTGGCAACCAGGGTTGCAATGTATACACAGGGGAGTGCACATGTAAGCGTTATGTGACTGGACGCGATTGTAACCAGTGCTTGCCAGAACACTGGGGTCTATCAGATGATCGTGATGGCTGTAAAGCATGTGACTGTGATCCTGGTGGTTCCTTCGATAATAACTGTGATGTCATCACAGGGCAATGCAGGTAAATCTCCAAAAGCTCTTAATTAATTTGGTTTTGAAATTGGGTGAGAAAAGTGTAAAAAGCACTTGCTGAAATGAGGGTTCAAGTTTCACTGATTTTGGGTTTGTTTATAATCTATTTAGAAATTCTGTCATTTGCATGTGTTTATGTGCATGCATGTGTGTGCATGCACATACAAACAAGCAAGCAGGCAAAGAAAGGTATATGCACACATGCAAACTATCTGCATTGATGTGGGATACTTGTGTATAAAGTAATTTTTTTTCATTTTGAATTTTCTGTTTAACATTCATTCTTCAACTGTGATATAAATCACCTCCATGGGTATACACAGAATTCAGATTGCAGTAAACATGATTTATAGGTGTCGCCCGCATGTGACCGGCAGAATGTGTGATCAACCAGAACAGAGTTACTTCACTGGATTGTTGGATTACCTGGTGTATGAGGCTGAACTTGCAAATTGTAGTGAGGTAAGAACTTCTGAACATCTCTGAGGAGTTTACAGATATTCTATATATTGAGGTTACTGGATGTTTAACACAATGCCTCACTTAGTTCTTGAATTGTCAGAGAATAATATGCCAGAACTGATAACTTTGGTGTATATTTTAAGCCACTGTATTGGCGTCTGTAAGGGTCACTTCTTTAATATGTTCAAAATAAATTCTGTTCTCATGATCAGTAGAACTATCATTACACATTATATTCCAGAATAATGATGCTCCAGCATGGGATCTAAATAGAAAATAAGGGACCTACAAAAAAAAAACAGCTTTAACTGACAAAATGGGAGACACTTTCATGTATTACAATGATAACATTCATATTAGTCAAGAATTTTGTGATGTTTGTTTTACATATTTTTAGCACTATGATTCCAGGGCCTCCATATTCATCAGATTTATTTTAGATGTGTTAGTCTGAATATGGTGCAAACTGCATAAATATATCTTACATACTTTGTATTTCTTTCTAAATTTGAAGATAAATGTATAGTGTGCATAAGGTGTGATTCTGAAATCACATAATTAAAAATATTTTAATTTTTTAATCCCTGAGAAGAAGGACATATAGTTTAGTTCTACAGTAGGTAGTGGGACTCTTCCTGTATAATAGAACTGAATCCAGTCCACTGATCTATAGTTCAATAAGATGTATTACTTGCACCTTAAACTTCTAAAAGGCAGTCTTTTTTGGGAAGCTTTCTGTAAGGTAGTGCTTCTTGTCTTCAACCCTTGATGTAGTTGCATTAACACTAGATGAGTATAATACTTGTATACAACGTTCCTTGTTATGGTAGCCTCTGCCCTCTCTTTCATATTTTGTGTCTCTAAGGTAAAAATTTCCCTTTAATGCAGCATTACTTATAAAAGTTGTATGCAATAGGATGTGTGTCCTGTAGCTTCCCCTGCTTCCTCCTTAAACACTCTGTCATGTGGTATTCCCTGCTTTCTCTGAGTACTTCCCTGCTTTCTCTGAGTACTTTGATATCTCCTGCCAATTCTTGTTCCACTGACTGCTTAACACTCATCATTGTCTGTCATCCAGGGCTGGTACAATAGGCCAAACAGTGGCTGATGTATCAAGTGGACTCTGTCTTAATCCACCTCAAGAAAATGAAAAAAGTGTATGAAATTACTTATTTAATCCATGGCTCTATAGTTCTGTAAGAACCTTGGCCTCCTTTATGGCAAATGCCCATTCTTCTCTTATCTGGTATCCATTGTTGGATTTCTTGATATATGTTAGCCCTGCTTGCAACCCCAAACATGAAAGACCAGGGGATACCTTTTTTCTCTTTGACCTGTATGACATGGATGACAGTAGCTGGAGTTTACACTCTTCATATCATAGCTCTCCAAGTTGATCATGGCTCACCTTTGGATGTTGGCAGGCATTATGATGGGTGTCATGCAACCATTCCATAATGTCCATCATGTAAACACTTAAAGGTTTTGGCTATGGTTGCTATTCAGGTCCCTTGGGACCTAGACATGACAGAAGGAGTTGGTCACCAGGACATCCACTGTCAGTGCCTCTTGGACAGGAATGGTATTGTCTTGTGTTAGTGATTAGACATGGAGTTTGGATTGATAATTGGATTTATTGAATGTTTATAGCTCATAACTACAGATAACTATAACAGTCTCACTGATTTACACACTCTCTAGATCACTATTACTACAGCACATATGATGTTCTCTGTTTGTTCACTAGTCATTGCTAGGCAGTGGCTGCTAACAATGCAACTAAAGACTAAGTCGATCAGTTGGGTGAATTGCTGCTGGCTCTTGCCAGCACAGTCATTCTTGGTTCCGAGTCCCATAGTACTCATGCCCATATTGAAGTCCATGAGACAATTGCTGCTGGGTCCTTGCTATAACCTTGGCACAAACTGAACAGAAAACACTGATTCCAAAAGTTTGTCTGTTGTTGTGTGTTTATTCGTTGCTGCTGAAATAAGTTTAACGTGCTGTTGCCTAGTAATGACTGTCTCTTCTTGTTCCACTATCCTGGCTTTCAGCTGTCATGTCACCAGGACATCAACCACTGTTGATGCCTCTTGGTTACGGATTGTATAGATCTCTGGCCACTTGGTAAAGTATTCAATGAAAATCTGTAGGTATCAGTTCCTTGTCTTGCTCTGTTTAAAGGGTCTTGCCATTTCCATGGTGAGCCTCCTGTTTGGTGACCTAACATTGTGTTGGTGCATCAGGCCTTGGCTTTGGGTTTGGGAATCTCAGCTTGATGTGCAGATATCACATCGTTGGTAAAAATTCTCATTGTCATTTGTTGCATGAAGCCACTAGTACTATATTGTAACCATATCTTGAGTTCTCTTGAAAGCCAGGAATTCTCCTGAAGATCCTCCATGAAGCTCTCCCAGTACTTCCTTTGCCTTGTTCCAGGGAAGAATTATTTGGACTGTCTGCCAAATCCCAGTGATGTTCTAGCACGCCAAATCTCATTACTCAGGAGCTCCACTGGGCCCTGTAACTCTTGTAGATGGGATTGTAATAAGTGATATTCAGCCATTCAGGATGCTGTCCAGCCTGCACTTCCTGTGGAACTGGTTTCAAATTGTCATGTGGCTGCTCTGTCCTCAAGATGGCATGGTCCTAGCTGTCTGTGGATAGCAACAGTAATTCATCTTGAAGCTGCTTTAATTTTTTCGGGTTTCTGGCAGTGAGTTCATACCTTTGGGCAGAGTCTTCTAGAGAGTTCATCTTTATTGGCATGCTTATGCCCTTGGTGATGCTTGGTTGTAAAATTATATTTTTGGAAGTGGATCTAACAGGCTCTCTGTCCTTCAAGGTTCTTAGAAGTAAGGAGCCAAGTCAGAGCAGAATGGTTGGTATGAGGATGGAAGTCTTGTCTATAGCAGTATTTGTGGAAGTTTGTAAATCTGTTCACAATAAACATTAAATCCTGTCAGATCAAGCAGTTTCTCTCAGCCTTCTATAGTGTCCTGCTGTAGTAAGCCACTGTACCCTCATGGTTCTTCTGTACTTACTACAGCACACCTCTAATTTCAGTGTTGCTTGCATCCATATTTATGAAAAACTTCTCATGCAGCCATGTGTATCCCAGGATTGTTGCCTACAAGATGATTCCTTCAGGGATGGGAAGACAGCTTCTGCTAATGAAGAAAGCCTGTTTCTCTTCTTGTGACATCCATAAATCCAAGTATTAACCTCCTCTAGTAGGTACAGAGGCCGAAAGACTGCTCATTTCATGTATATCTGTTTGGAGTGGCCACTCTGGTACAGCCTTCAGCTTCTCTGGATCTGTAGTCTTTCTGGTGATACAATATAGGCCAAGTACTGCACCTTCCTCTCGAACAATTGACACTTCTTGGACCTTCAGTTTTAGGTGGGTGTCTCAAAAGCTTCTGAAACACCTGCAGGTTAGAGAGATTCATGTGGAATGTCTGGCCAATAATGATGACATCATCCAAGTAAACCAGACAGGCTTCATATGTAAGGCCCTGGAGGACAGATTCTATCAGCTGTTTGAATGTTGCTGGACAATTGCAGAGGTCAGCAGATATCAATTTGAACCGCTATGGCCCCTGATCAGTAGAGAATGCTGTGTTCTTGTGATTGGGGTATAGGGCAGCCTGCCAATAGTGACTATTCAAGTCCAGGATTGAGCCCCAGTCATTGTACCCAGGGTGTTTTCTATACTTGGTAGCAGGAAGAGAACTTTTTGGCAATGTCATACAGACTTTGATAATCCACACAAAAGCAAAAGTCTTAAGCAAAGATTAAGGAATATCTAATTCCTCAATTTCAGCTTGTCCTTTCATGTCTGAGAATCTTGTCCATTTCAGCCTGCTTTGCTAATAGGAGTCTGGCAGATGGCTGATGGGATGGACCAAACAGGCTGTGATAAAATATAGGTGTATCCACATCTGTCACCTTGTGTTGTAAAAATGTTCTGGAATCTGATGATTACCACCTCCAGCTTCTGGACTTTTCCAGGTTTGGCCTGGCACCGTCCCCCTCCCCCCAGCATTTGCTCACAGAGCTTTCAATCCCTGGAGTTTGGGTTCTAAATTATCAGCTGTCATTGCCCATGTAACTGGTTCTCAGTTGGCAAGGGTGCCTTCAGCCAGCTCCTGGGCTTGGTTGGTCAAATTCATGATCTTGACAGGTACTTCGCATGGAGCTTGAACTGGCATTCAGGCATGTGCAGTTCTCAGTGGAAGTCTTCAGACTTAATTTTATTATGGTGTTTGCTGTATCCAGGCAATCTTTTAGCCTTGTAGTCACTACTATTTGACTTTAAGTTGGCGTGACGAAGCTGGACTGTGTAAGGAGGAATTAGGTTGCCTGGATAAAGCTGGCGACTTTCTTTTCCCATAGTTCACATGCACTTTCATCTGAAAATAAAGCAATGGGCCCTTGGAAAGGTCTATTCTTTCTCACTATTTCATTTCCCACCTTTGATGATAGACAAGTGTGATGTTTATAAGGGCACATCTTTGTCAACTACTTCCCATTTACTTAGATCAGGTTCCTTTCTTTACCCCCTCTCCTCTGATCGCACAGCCACTTCCTTGTAACTTGCCTATGTAACTAAGCGCGTGTCTGAACCTACACACTTCAGCCCAGGAAATGGAGGCAACATGTGCTTGTGATACATCAGTATCTCCCCACAACACTGCACTGTGTCACAACCGAGAAGACCACAATGTTAACAATGTTGGATAGTGTTTTTTTTTCAGTACTTGTTTGTAGAAACTTGTCCAATCATGAATGTGTTTTTGTATTATAATTTGCTGAAATGAATAAAGTATTCTGATTATGACATTTCATTTTGATAATTCTTTTAGTTGCACAAACATACTTTTAAAAGCAAATACTTCTTCTTAATAGAACTGCCAAGTTGTAATTCGTGAGCCATTCCGTGATGGTAGAGAAAACACATGGACTGGTACGGGATTCATGAGAACATTTGAAGACTCAACTTTGGAATTCATCATAGATAACATCAAGACCAGCATGGAGTATGATATTGTAATAAGATATGAACCTCAAGTAAGTAATATTATGGTTAGGCAGAGCTTATTATGCATTGGATGTCTATTCCACGTTTGCCATCTAGCATTTTGTTGTAAGTCTTGTTCAGAAAATAACAGGGTAAATGCATGGATAACAGGTATTATTCAAAACTTCTAGTTACAATAATGATCTGACATGTATTACCCTGCCAAGCATTTTGTACCAGAAACACAGCAAAGTAAAAACAAACACATGCCTTCCAATTAAGGCAGCAGGTTTAACAAACTGAGCTTCTGTCCTGGTATGCTTCCCTTCCCACCCCAAGAAAAACTTCATTATTGTTTTCCATTGTCAGGAAACCACTGGTTGTGGTCATGCTATATATATTAAATATTTATAACCATTTAAAGCTTTCAGTGTATTTATATCAAAGTCCACACTATTGTACTCTAAGAGTAGCAAGCAGTTAAGAGAGGCGTAAGTATGTTTTAGTCAGAAGCCACAAGGTTGCCTGAAATTCCATCAGATTTATGAAACAATAATGGTAATTCAATGATTCAGAATATCACAAGATTCTGTAATAATGAAAACGTCCCTCACCGAGAAACGGCAGATCAAGTTAGCGAAAGATGGATTGATGCAAAAGGGAATAAGGTATCACAAAGGATCAGATGCTGCAATTATGATTTGTATTTTAAGATTATGTTCATTATTCATTCAGGAGAAACAAGCAGCTGTAAAGCATCAAAAAGATACAGTGTATTCTAAGGCAAACGTCTGAAGTTTAAAACAACAGAAAGGAGAGTTTAACACCAGTTCTGCATTAAAGTGGTTATTAATGTGGATTCAAGAACACAGTGGAATTTCAGTTTCCTTTGACATCATTACTCAGCAAGAGGTTGAAATGTAAGTGCATGTCAGGGTGGTGTGTACAAGTGATGTGGAGGAACAGGTATTCCTCACAGTCAAGATGTTCATTTTGCAAGATTTTTCTATCACAGTTCGAGGCAGTGGCACTGAAATACCACTACATTTAAATGTGCCATCCAGTTACACTGATTTGATGACATAGGTGCAAAATCTGTTGTCATAAAATATCATCCCGTGAAAAAATGTCAATGTCTGTAATGCTGATAGAGTTTGCAACTACCACCCCAGACAGTCTTGAATAGAAAGAAAGTTATGGCCGGAGTACAGGTTCCCATGTGACTAATAATCAGGTGTTGAACTGAGGAATGGATCTATCATCTGTTTTCACTGTTATGCATATTTTTTCATCATTATAAATTTGGTGGTATATCTAATACCAGATAACATTTGTGAACCCTGACTCAGCCTCTAACAGAAATGAGTACCAGCAATTAATGAAATAATTTTCCTGGGGAAAATTATGCCAGCGTGTAAGGCTGACAACCTTATCACCATCTTTGAGCCAATTGTCTAGAAAATGTGGGACCCTCAACATCTCACACCCCTATGGGCCTTCACAGCCTGTTACAGGGATAGCTTTACTTTTTTTTTTTTTTTTACTTTTTACTGTAGATAGTCGTAATCTCTGTAATATTTTGTTATTGATTATCAACAAAATTATGTTTTCTTGCAAAACTAAAACATGTAATGGCGTAAATAATGATGAAGTAAATTATTAATACTGTACTAGTTTTTGTGTGATAGACATATATCTTGAAACTGTGTTATGAATGCTGGATGACTAAATGAATTAATGGGACACTGATTGCAGGTTGTCTGAATCAGGAAATGAATGTTTGTGCTGGATGCATTTAAAGGTTATTTAGCACTAGATGCCAGATCTGTGATGCATGCAATGGATACTGACCTAGTGGCCATACTGGAAGGGAAGTCTTCAGAACTACATGTTCCAGCAAATAAGACACTGGTGATCATTTGAAACGATTGCATTCTGAATTGCTCTTGGCGGGGGACTATGTTTGAATACCACATGGTGTAATAAAGAAGCCCAGTGTAAAACTGCTCTGTCAATGGATCAAGACTGTGACAATATGTGTCTCCAGAAGTGATAGCTGGAAGATGTAAAATTTTATGTAAATCTGATGCATAGGATAGGATTATAAAGAAGAAGTTGGGAATGTCATCAGTGAATGAGAGACAGCAGATGGGAATTGTGAAGGCACTGAGACAGACAGTAGGAATGGTGAACAGAGTGATGCTGATGAAGTTGAATATGTCCTTGTGACTTCAAGGAGGAAAGGAACTCAATAAATATCACATAATGTGTTTATAGTAAGAGTATGTAGTTAATTCATGAAGTTACTTCTTGTGTGCAGATGTTTTTCCTAGTGTGTGTCATTATCTTACATTTTGAGCCATCAGGAACCTTCAATCATATTTTTTGTAGTGGTCTCTATATTATGTTCCTCTTGTATGTGATCATTGTGTGTCCCTTAACCAATCTATTCCTGGGGGATGCCAGTAATTACCATTGACATCCTTACAGTTGATTTATTATGCAATTTGTATGTTTACTAAAATGGTGCTGAAAGTTGCACATAGTAGAAATGTAAGAGACAGGCAGGCAAAAATACTATAAAAAAATTGCTTTTCTGAAAGTACAGATGTCTTATGCATGTTGTTCTCATGCTGATAAAACTGTCTGATGATGAATGGTTATGGAACAGCACCAGTGTCTTAAAATGCGTATGCAGACCGTTTTTCTCTCTCCCTCATGCATAAAATCTTTCAATAATATAGAAAAATATGAACTGTGATTTCCAGGAGTGCTCTTTGATTGTTTTAGGGCTACTATATAAGATAACATGTTTTAACTTAAACATAGCTTCCATTTCAGTAACATTTCAACAGATAAGAAAGTTTTATTGTAGAGATGTAACAGATGCAACATGTGGTTTACTGGCTTCTTAAGTGAAGTACTTCATTATGACAGGCACCTGGGAAGTGGGAAGACGTTCGTGTTATTGTGGAGCGGACTGGTCCAGTTGATCGTAATGGTCCTTGTGCCAATTCCTTACCTCAAGATGATATAAAACAAGATTCATTGCCTGCAGGTTAGTTGCCAAAGAAATTGGTATATTGATCAAGTAAATTTTGAAAGAGTTTTATGACTTGCATTTAAAGTTGATTCAAGTATCATGCATTATTAAGATTTTATTGACTGTTACAGATTGTTGACATTATGGATGTTTTTGCCTTTTTTACAGGAGCCCGCAGTGTTGCAGTGTTTCCTCCAGTGTGTCTTGAAGCTGGGCAGCCATACAAGATTAGGCTGGAATTTAAGCGATATGACAGTCAGATAGAAACACCAACAGCATCTGTGCTTGTGGACTCTGTAAGTTATTATAAACACACAAAATGGTGAGTTCCATACAGTGTCAGAGTGTTCATGTTAACAATGGTAGCATGACAAACACTTTGAAAAACAAAAGTGTTGCTTTCATGGATCTATAGTACTCTGTATGCTGGCAGGAGTAGTGATCAGGTAATGCATTATCTGCCACCTCCAGCCAACCTATCACAATCTCATTATCTAGTCCCATTAGGCTTATGCTAGCAATTTGTGAGTGTGGGCATAATTATAAGAGACATAATACAGTATAAAATTGAGGATAAGAAGGTGCACGTTACATTCCAAGCTGCCACACTGTGCAAACAAGGAATGTTAACACACTTCAGTTGCTTACGACATGCTGTTGGAAAGTTCCCGGACTAGGTAAAAAAAACATTGGTTTAACTGACTCAATTTTTGCTGCCATCTCTTCAAAATAGTCTCCTTGGGAATGTATAAGCAATCCCGTCATTTTTTCCACACTTCAAAAGCACTGTGGAAGTCAGTTTCCTTAATTCTGTCAAGTACCATTTGCTATTCCCTTTGGATGTCAGACAGTGTTTCAGAATGTCATATCTTCAGTTTCATTTTCAAATTGGAAAACAAAGCATAATCACAAGGGGCTAAGTCTGGCGATAGGGAGGATGAGGAATGATCACCATTTTGTTGTTAGTCACAAACTCTGTGGTTTTCAGGGATGTGTGGGTGGTTGCATTGTCTTGATGAAGGAAAAATGCAGAACATGTTCAAATTTTCTCTTAAGGTCTCCTGGCAAACCCCATAACTGATCCCAGTGGTGTCTGTGAGCTCATGGATTGTTCAGTGACAGTCTTCATCGTTGAGTTCTCAAATTTTTTCAACATTTTCTATTGTTTTGCTGGTGCTTGGTTGCTCTGAATATTTGTCATTTTCAACTGACACTCAACCAGTCTTGAAACGTGAATGCCACTGAAAAACCGCTTTTCGGCTTAAAGAATGTTCTCCAGAAGCCTCATGAAGCATTTCAGGGGTTTTAGTAGCAGATTTACCAAGCTTCAAGCAAAACTTGATGCAGACATGTTGCTTGATTTTGCCATCTATTGCAGACAAAACAAAACACAAAATTGGAAAGGCACTCACGTAACATTATTGCATATTCACAGCATGGTGTCACATGGCAGACTGATGCAGTAGGTTTGTGGAAGTGTGACCTTGGCCTCCCCTCTCATATTCTTTCACTGAGATAGTTACAACAGTAACAGTCAGGGAACTTTCTGATACCACCTCGTATATGCTCACAGAATGTAGAGTGTTGTATTATATTCCGAACGAATTTAATTATGTAACAATTGTTGTGCATGTATGCTCTGTTGTTACTTATGATTGTGCACCATGAAAGATGAAGTTTGTGTCTGTGTTTTAAAGACTTACAGAAAGAGTCACTTTCTTGTAGAGATTTTGCTTACAAGAAGAAAACAATTGAAATATGCAGATGAACCCCTTTTCTTACAAATATGGTGAAACAGTCACTTAATAGGATACATGAATGCTCAGTGAATTATGTGAATTATAAAATGGCTTTACTGAAGTTTGGTAATAATCAAATTGAAGATTCGTTTGACTTAGCAAACAACATAGCTCATGAAAAGTATAATGAAAAAGCCAGAGTCAATAAAAATATTGTCAGTTGTTTGATAGACGGTGTTTACTCTTTGGCACATCAAGAACGCTCATTTAGAGGGCATTCAGAAAACAGGAGATTACTTAGAATACCTTCATAGCATGTCACTGTATGATGGAAACTTCATGTTCAGTTGGAAACTTCAGTAGTTTCTACAGGCACCTCTATTGACATCCTGAATGATCCCATTGAATATATTTCAACTGTGATGATGGACAAAATAAAGAGGTGAAACATGCTACCTTTGTGTCTGTAATTGAAGGTGAGGTTGTGGATGTGTCTGAAAATCTCAACTTCAATCTTCTATTCTTTACATGACTCATTATGGCAGTTCACAGGAATGATTTATCAGAGTTTCAGATGTCAGTGAAAACTGCTCTGCTGCTTCCTTGTTGGGCAGGTTTTAATTTAGTAAATGTATTTCAGTGTGGTGAAATATTTGCAGCTCAAACTTGCCATGGTGTAGTGGTTATGGCAGCTGAACATAATGGGCTGCAAAAATTAAATGGCAGCAAATACAAAACAGGGTATTCATACACTGTTATGGTCACCAGTTGAATTTAATGCTAAGACAGTCAGTTGAATGAATTTCTCAGTGTAAAGTTTTCTTTGAAGCATGGTCTAGTTTTGGAGCATTTATTTTTTAATCCTCAGCAAGGTTAGCCACGTTTGACAAGCTTGTCACTAGATGCCTACTTTCATTTGCATCCAACAGATAGCTTTACATAGAAAAATTGGATGAAGTCATCTCACAGGTGAAAACAGAACTTATTCATATTTTCAATCCAGTGATGAATGCCAAAAATGTGGGATGCACATATTTTTCAAAATTATGCAGATGGAGAACATCAGGTACTGTTCAGAAAGAATTTCAGAATTTCTTAACAGAGGGGTATAACATTTCTGAAAAGATTTGGGCAAAAAGTGAGAGTTGTTCATAAGAAAATAAAGAATATTCAGAATTGCCAGTTAAGAGACAATGAATTGTAACAATTAGTAATGATAAAAAACTTATCACAGACTATACTGTGACATAATTGGCACTTTGAAAGGACAGTTGACTAATCGATTCTCTGAAATTTACAAACTGAAGTGTGTTTCATTTCTAGGCTTTGGGATCTTCAAAAACTACCCTGAAGGATTTCATCCTACTCTTTATGAGTCATTATTGAAATTGTACAGATGGCATTTTGATTCTTTTCTATTGGAAACTGAACTTTCTCTTGTTCATTTGTTGGAGGAACTTTTACATTGCTCAGATATTTGATCATGTCAGATATGAGTACAGTATTACCAGAAGTCACAAAATTGTTTCATTGTTATTAACCATTTCACCACTCAGTTTATGTCAGGCAGTCATTCTTTGCTTAGAAGAGGGTCCATACTTACCTACACAGGGTGAAGATTCAGGAGAGACTCACTAAGTTACCTTTAATGGCAGTTGAAAATAAAATTTTTTCAAGAGCTATAAAACAGTTTTTATGACTTTGTGAGAAATATATTCGCTGAAAAATCATTGCATGGATCTAGTATAAAATGTAATAAGAAAAGATAAGCTCAGTAGTTGCTATTGCTAACCATTTGTGCCTATTTCACATTTCTTTCCTATTTTACCCCTTGACTTTGTTAATATTTAGATAAATGGCATAGTTGTCTTGTACGATGTACAGGTATATATTCAGTTGCCAAAATTTGGGATTTGGCTAAGGCTTAAAAAAATCACACCCCACCACTGGTTCCAGATGTTGGTAATTCTTTCTGTAATAATCTTATTTATATAACACTTTTGCTTTTTGGTCATCATACCTGACATGAAAATTCAGAAGATATTACAGTGGGTTTGAAACATTGTAACCAGGGCACCATCTTTGCTTAATTAATGTTATGATACACAGACATTTCTGGAATGTGAGGGCAGTTCACATTTAATTAAAGGAAGATTAAGATCACACCAAAATTCTGCAGTCGTGATTTCTCTGTTAAGGGATAATGGTAACAAAGTTATAACTATTGTCATGTAACACATCTTACTGCATTCCAGATTGCACTTGTACCAAGGATTGAGAGTGTACCTTTCTTCAGAGATTCCACACCAAATGAAATTAGACGTCAAGAATATGAACGCTATCGATGTAGTCAAGCATTCTATTCTGTAGTAAAGGGCAATATTCCAGATGTATGCAAGAAGTACTACTACAGCATAGGGTTTTATGTTCACGGAGGGGCATTTTGTAAGTATTATTGGAAAGAAATATCTCAACAGATGAAGGTTAATTTGGATAGATTGGAGCGTTCTGTATGTGTTCTGTATAGTGTTCAAGGTGGAAAAAAGTAACTGTAATATTCTCACTGATTTATACGCACTAAAGATCACTGTAACTACAGCACACATGAACTCTTCTTTGTCTTTGCTAGTCATTGCCTGGTAGCGGTTCCTAACAACGCAAGTCAAGACTCTTAACCACTGACTCTGACCTCCAACTCCTGACCATTGACTTCTGCCTCACATCTCATGACTGGCTGGCTTGTCCTTTTGCTCAGACTGCACAGAAAACGCTGCTTCCAATAATTCCTCCATTGTTGAGTGATATGTTAAGTGGGTTGTTGCCTAGCAATGGTCTGCATATTGTTGAAGAGGGAGTGTGTTTTTGTTGCTGTCGGAATGTGTTTACTGGCCGCTGCCTACCAGTGGATGACTTACCTGGGACTGCTGTTCTGGCTTTCAGCCATCATATCACAATATACATGTGATGCTGATTTTTTGTAGAATATGGAGGTGTTCATTCCTTTGTTTGTGTCTTTATTACTATATGTTCTTCGAGCAGGACATAGCTGATGAGTGGCTTTTTTGGATAAGGTGATATCGCTTTACTATGCAGACAAAGTGTTCTGGTAAAACCATTTTATTTACCTGATTTTACCATAGCTGTTGAAAATGATGTCTTCCAGCATCCAAGCACATTCTCACAGATAATAATCAAATGCCTTTAGATCTAGGGAATGTCTCAACATGAATTATTGCTTAACATAAACAGATTTCTCGTGCATTAAGAAGTGCACAGCTGATTTCTGGGAACTGTTGCATATGTGTTATTGTGACCAGTCAATTTTGAGTATTTTTTGTGCTTGTAGTATCTGACCATAAGTACTGAACACATACTGACAATTAGTTAGGAGTATTTAGAGCAGGAAAATTCACCAACAAACATCACAAAGAATTCACTATTAGTTGTATGGACTGTTTTCAGTGTATGAATAATTAGTAAAAGGTTAAAGCTATCTCTGTAACTGTCTTTGGAGACCCATAGGATTATGAGAGGTCAAGGCTCCCACATTTCTTAGACAATCACCTAGCAGATGGTGGCAAGGTTGTCAGCCTTATGTGCTGGCTACCCTTTACCCCTACCCCTGGGATGATTCCTGCTACTTATTTCTGTTAGAGGCTAAGTCAACTCCAGGGCCATAGTGCAACTGGAAGAATTAGGTAAATTGAAAAATCGAATGGCCTCATTGGGAATTGAAACCATGACTTTCCAGCCTGTGGATAATGCCTCAACCAACCATGGTACCACATGCTTCCATGAATAATTAGTCAAAGACTAAAAATTGCCGTTGACAGTCCCCAGATCTGATTGTGTGTGATTTTTATTTGTGGGAAAACTTGAAACATAAAGTTTACAGGAATAATCCACACTTTACAGATCAAATTCTGGAATGTTATTCTAGAAATCATGGAAGGTGAACTTCAGTGTGTCGCAGAATTTGTTATATCAGTGTGAAATGTGCTTGGATATTGGAGGACACCATTTCCAGCAGCTGTTGTAATATAAGGTAAGTAAAATTGCTTTGCTGAAGGCACTTTCAAGTGTGGGCAGAACCTTTAATAAGATTGCCTGCTGGCTTGTTATCATTTTATTCAGGAGAGCCTGGCCACAAGCCAGGAAGCAGTGGTAATAAGGCCATGACTGAGGGAGTGAATATCTGTACTGCAACAAAAATACATTTCCATAATACACTGAATGCTACATGTGACGTGATATTCCAGGCACCCATTTTCAGTCTCAGTTGAAATTATACTGCAGTATATTGCAGAACTACTTACAGTTATATTTGTAATTTAGGTATGTTATATTGGGTGAAAAATATCCTCTTTCATTTTATGTTAGTCCTTACAATTTATTTGCCTTTCCCTTCTGTGCCCCACTGTCCTTCGTATATGATATGTCAAAAGTTGCAGAAGTTTATAATTTTGGAAACACTACTGAATAGAAGAACTTTAGGATCAGTAATATATTGATTATCCAGTAATTAAATTACTGTTTAAACCTGTGAACAAGGCAGCATCCCACCCCCCTGAACACCATTATCTTCACCATTTCCACCTCCTTTTCCTACATCACAGTTTCATCTTCTCTGTGACCCTTCTTCGCAGATACCCTTATCTTTCGAAGGAGAACAAGACTGTTCTTGTATCATGACTTTTTGACAGTTGCAGCAATCGAATATGATTTCTTTTTCAGACTGCCAGTGTGATCCCACAGGTTCAGTCAGTGCACTGTGCAGTTCTCTAGGAGGAGCATGTCAGTGTAAAGCAAATGTTGTTGGGAGGCGATGTGATCGCTGTGCGCCAGGAACCTTTGGTTTTGGACCTGAGGGCTGTAGAGGTGAGTAAATGTGTCTTATCAAAGTTATGAACTTGGCTGGCAGAATTTTTAATAGCACAACAACTAAGGCAATGACAATATTCAAATGCTGTGACTAATTTGCTTTGTTGAATTTTACCCCTTTTGTTTTCCATCTGATATAAAATATTCTTTTTGTGTTGTTTGCATGTTGACTTTTTTACTCAGCTTAGTTGTGTCTGACAACAGCCTGTACAAGAAAATGTAGCTATATTTAGAACAGGGTAGTTTTAGAGATCTATGCTTTATGTTATACAAGATGATTCAAATATGACTGGCACTGATTTGTGTGTAAACAAGCTGCACTGTGCAGTAGCTGTGTGACCTTGAGAGAGTGAAGCCACAACCTCCACCCTCCCTCCTGTTTGAGTGAGAACCTGTTCAGTCCTGTCTGGGAGTTGCTAAAATGATGAGTGAACAGAAGGTACTGCAGAGCCTGGAACAACACATTGTGATCAAATTCCTCGTTGGAGAAAACGTCCCGTCCGCTGAAATTCACCACAGACTCCAACAACAGTATGGGGAAGAGTGTCTCTCATGGACCCATGTGTTTGAGTGGTGTAAGTGCTTCAGAGAGGGTAGAGAGCATATGGAGAATGAACTGCATGATTGTCGGCTGCGAACATCCGTCACCGAGCCAAACATTGATCATGCAGACGCGCTTATTCGTGAGAATAGGCACATCGCTATCAAGGAACTTGGAGCAATGCTGTCCATCAGTGTTGGTAGTGTAGAAGACATTGTGAAATACCACCTACACTATTGCAAGGTGAATGCACGGTGGGTACCACGCACTTTGACAGACGTGAACAAAATGGTGCACAATGCAAGCTGCCAGTTTTCTCCTACAGCAGTTTGGAGATGAAGGTGATGCATTTTTGAAGTCTATAGTGACCACTGATGAAACGTGGGTGCACTACTTCATTCCCGAGTCCCAGCAGTCATCACGTGAGTGGCGGTACACCAGTTCTCCCAAACCCAAGAGAGCGCAGAGGAGCCGTTCGGCAGGAAAAGTGATGGCAACGTTCTCCTGGGACTGGCTGGGGGTTATCCATGTAGACTTTCTGACAGATGCCAGAACAGTCAATGCAGCTTATTACTCATACCTCCTGACAACAGACGTGAAGGAAAAGTTCCGATCCAAGTGGAAGACAAGTGGAAAGTGGGTGGCCTTCCTTCAAGACAATGCATGGCCCCATATGGCCAAAACAACAATGGAAACCCTCTGGAAATTGAAACGGAACTTTCTGACACATCTGATTTGACCCCAAGTGATTTCTACCTGTTCGGAAGGCTCAAATCAGACTTGCAAGGCATGTGGTTTGTGGACAATGACGCCGTCATCCAGACTGTTCAGGAGTGGATATGCCGCCAACCACAAGCCTTTTTTGAAAAGGGCATCAGGATGCTTCCAGAACGTTGGGAAAAATGTGTTGACTCCGGAATGGAGTACATTGAAGACTGACATGTGCAAGTAAAGTAAAAGTAAAGCTATCCCTGTAAGAGGCCGTGAAGGCCCATAAGGTTGTGAGACGTTAAGGGTCCCACATTACCTTGACAGTCGGCTCAGAGATGGCGGTCAGGTTGTCAGCCTTACGTGTTGTCCGCACTTTGCTCCCCAGGAAAATTATTTAATTAATTCCTGGTACTCATTTCTGTTAGAGGCTGAGTAAACCCCAGGGCCTAGTGTGACCAGAAGGATTAGAACAACTGATAAACATCCGATGACCTCATCGGGGCTTGAACCCGCGGTAAATGTTTGGCAATTATATTTTTTAAAAAAAATCGGTCCGGGTCATATTTGAACCACCTTGTATATAATCTTCAAATTCAATGGCCATCATCAAGATGACTGGGAAAATTTAATTTGTTCATTATTAAGCCAGGCTTACAGGTTTTGGTTTGTTGGAGACCTGATTACTTTTGTTGTGTGATGTTAAATTTATAGTTCTTGTTTTAAATTGATAGTTATATTTCTGCTCTCTGAGACAGTATTCTTTGTAAATGTATTCTATTTGTATCTGAAGATATCCATAATCTACTTCACCATTGCTCAAGGTTCTGACAATGATTCTAGTTCAACTGTTTACACTCAGACCACAACTGAGGTTGTTCCTCAATATCAGAGAATTATAGACAAATATGATTCACATCTACATTATAAAATAGGATAGAGGATTCTGGCTGTGTGTTGATTTTTTCTTGTTGAACATTCCTGTTTTAATGTCATGTGACTATAACATACTTATTGTCAGTTTGGTCTGGACTTCTAGGCAGAGCTGAATTTAGATTCACTGGGGCACGATACTGTCAAGCTTCACAGGTTCCATAAAATCTGTGCACTGTATCTGAAAAATAATGGTGGGGATTTGAGAGACTCTTTCTCCAAATACACAAAAGGCATCAGATTGTACCGTTATATTCCTCCACTGAAACAGTTTCATGGGTGGTCACCAGGGGCCACCAAGTTGTACCATTACTTTCCCTCACTCCACAGTTTTGTATAATTCAATCTTGCAATGTACGAGTATATGGTTGTCTAGTCATGTTTACTCAACAAGAAAAGGTGTGTTTTTTTTTGTTGGTAGCCAAGCATAACTCAGTTATTACGGTTCTATGTGCATTTATGTTTGAATTTATTAAAAGTCCTCCACATAAGAATAACATCAGATGATGGTCATATCACCCCACCATAGGCAACATCCTGTCTTAATGCTCATCTACTATGGGAATGAGGGTACATCATTGTCAGTTAGTACCATAAACCATTAAGGCATTATTAGGGAGTTACTAGGTTCAACATTCAACATTCTTGTGATAGTCATGCACCAATGTGAAATTCAAATGTACTTAAACAGGACTTTTTTTTTTTTTTTCATAAGGTTGACTATGCAGCAAATGTTATACCCTGATCCATAGTGTAGATGGACATAATTTCAATTTATAATTTGCACATGGATAATTTTCATGAATGTTTGTTACAGCATGTGATTGCAATTCTATTGGTGCTTTGGATAACTTCTGTGATGCGCAAACAGGGCAGTGCAAATGCCGAGCAAATACATATGGTCGGGAATGTGATCAGTGTCAACCTGGTTTCTGGAACTTCCCTAATTGCCAACGCTGTGAGTGCAATGGACATGCAGATATATGTGACTCTCGCACAGGAGCCTGTAATAGTTGCAGAGATTCAACACTTGGTCACCATTGTGACAGGTGATTACCCCAAAATGTTCATGTTAGTAATGTAAAGTATGTAACGTGGCAATTCCTAAGAACTCCTATTTTTTTTTTTCAAATAAAGCAGTTTATACATTTCAACATAGTTTACCTTGACAAAAGAACACTTGTTCCACTACTGTACAAGTTTCTTTATTTTTGTGCAAAATAACTTCTGCTTTTCACAAAATCAAAGTTGTGCCATTGCTTTCATTTCATAAATGTTCCAGAACTTTGTTCATCATAGCAGTGTTCTAAGTGGTCAGAGGAAACCCAAACCAGTGCCTTTTTATGCCCAGTAATTGATGTGTTGATGAGGGATAAAGTAACTAGTGAACATATTACACAACAGTTTGTCCTCAATTGAAATTTTTGTTGAGAATGATATTTAATAAGTTGCATTAACCTGTGACTTTGGTAAGAATATGTGGAGTGCTAAGGTAGGAAAATGTGATCTCCCCCTGTTATCCGTACTGGGAGGCTCTGTCCATAGTCAGCAAGATCATACTATTTCACTTCAGTTACTGTGAGATGTTAAAAATCTGTGTTGCATGCATTCATTTTATTCAAGTTTTTAAAACTGCATGCAGTATTGGTTATATGCTTGAATTCTACCCATGGTGTTGGCTTTTGTGATGCAGATGTATCGAAGGCTATTATGGAGATCCTCGCATTGGAGTGGACATACCCTGCCGCCCTTGTCCTTGCCCTGAAACTGCGGAGTCCGGTCACTCTTATGCTACCCGCTGTGCACTTGATGCTCGCACACAGGATGTAGTGTGTGAATGTAGTGTTGGTTATGCTGGTAAATGAGCTGTCTAGCACTTTTTCATTCTTAGTATACTACCATGAAGGAATTGATAGTGTGCTTTGATTCAGAATGGGGAACATAGTACCGGAACCTTGTGAGGAAGAAATGTATGAATATAATGTGTGCTAAAGCTTTAATGCCTGAATATTTGAGATTTGAGGTTCCAGTGGAATTGAGAATTTAGACCGTGGTCTTCTGGATTAAAACATCACACAGTCTCATGGTCATAGGTGGTTATCACCTTCTGGATTTTGATACCTTTTTCATACAGATATGTATTGTAGGTTTCTGTCATGAATGTACATTTCATATGAGGCTAAATTCTGAAGATAAATCTGTTATATTTTTCAATTTTGCTTTTGAGCATGCAATTCAGTATAACCAAACATCAGTCATGGATGATGATTGAGGATGCCAGAAGATGAGGATCTGTTCTCTGGGTGGAGCATTTGTGGTCCTACTTAGGGGCTCAAGTTTTACTCTGGAAGTGGAATGAGGTGTTGGATCAGTCAATGATGGGCTATTATTTGCAGCACAGTACACCAGAGTACTGTAGATAATGGTTGTTTATTGTGCTGCCTTTTGGGATGGCAGACTGATGATGTTCATACACTATCCTGTACACAGTGCTTACACAACTACATTCTGGTGAATCTTTATAGGCACTTAGCTAATTTACAGACTTGTAACATATGTTGGCCTATTTGACTAATCCAGGTGTTAGTAATGTTATGTTCAGACATCAACTTTATTTTAGTCGATCATTTTGATAATACTCGTATTTAGAAAGTTAGAATTGATTTTTCAGAAGTTAAGTATTTATGAAGTGAAATTTGAAAGGAGTTCATGCATAAAGTATGGCATGGAAATTAATGATCCATGCTCTTAAATGATTGATGATCGAGTAACTCTGAGTGTTACAGAGCACTTGAAAATGTAATTTTGGAAACTACATGCCATCATGGCAAAATTCTTAATTTTGGATATCTGTTGGGTAGCCTGTTTGCATGTTACACTGTGATGCATTAAAAATGCTGGAGACTTTAGACAAAACTGGCTGATTGGTGACTTAATTTCAAACTAAAGGTGGACATAGTTCAGGCATTTGACATGGTGTGTCTTATGCCAGTTCTTCCCCTTGGAGGTGAGTCAGCATTCCAGCTTTCTTTGCCTGACTTACTATATTGTACCTTTCAAACTAGAGCGTATAAGATTCACAAGTTCCATCAAGTGTGAACACATGTGTGGCTTGGTGGACTAGAATGAATTGAACCCTGTCACCAGAAGTCACATTTCTGATGAGCCATCAGATTAATGATTGCAAGGGTCTTTTTTCAAACTTGCTGACCATGCACTTTATCTCACAGTCATAACTGTCTAAATGAATGTAATCATCAAATAAAACAATTCTAAGTAGTTACTATAGGATTCTGACGATGGTGTATAACACACTGATATATTGGGTTTTTGGACTTTATCCATCGTCCTGGTTTTTAAGATAACAAATAAAAACACGACGTTTCGGAAACTGGCTCTGTTTCCGTCCTCAGGTGAAGGAAAACACCTATTCTGTTGGGTCCGTTAGAAAGAGCTAGCCTCAATCACTGGACAAGTGATTGAGGCTAGCTCAATAGGTGTTTTCCTTCACCTGAGGACAGAAACAGAGCCAGTTTCCGAAACGTCGTGTTTTTATTTGTTATCTTAAAAACCAGGACGATGGATAAAGTCCGAAAACCCAATATATCAAAACAATTCTAGCTATATCTCATGTTGGATACTGAAAAATCTTGGGTATGATGAATACAGGACTTATTCAGCTGTAGCAGAAAATCGAAGAGACTCGAAGTAGATGAACTGAGAAGAGATGAAAGAAATTATGAATGAACATAATTAAATGATGAGGATCTCCATGGTTTATTCTCCTATCCTAGTGTTAGTTCAGTTAAATCAAGGAGGTTATTAGTTGGACATGAATTTGTATTTTGAATTTGAATTTATTTACATTCTGTAAATCCAAGTACAGGTTGACACCATAGGATATGGAACAAGTCCAGTACGAATACATTATATCTGTACAATAATAGTTTTAAAAGTTTAAAAGTTAATAAGATTATAATACAGTATTAATATTACCATGCTAATTGGATACATACAGCACAATCTGCAAATAAGCAAAATGATATGGCAACATGCTTGGGAATACACTTTAGCTTGGAATTGATACTAGTTACTGTTTGTTTACATTGAAATATTCATCTATGGATTAGGAGTGAGTAAGTAAGTAATATTTCAATGCTGTTCTAAATTGCTTAATATTACTATTTGCTTTTTTGAGACTTTGATGGAGGTTATTGAACACTTTTATGCCAAAGGAGTGAACTCATTTTTGATATAGTGATAGATTTGCTGAATGTTGGTGGAAGTTGAGTTTTGCCTCGTATTTATGTTATGGATGTCCAAATTTAGATTGTACTGTACATACCTTTGTTGTCTACCACAAATAATAGGAGTGAGAGTATGCATTATGAGTGAAACAGTAATATTTGTAAATGAATCTCTGTTCTTGCTTCCTGTGATAACTCTAATTGCCCTCTTTGCATTTTGAAGATTTTAGTGCTATCTGTAGAGTCCCAGAATATTATTCCATATGGCATAGCAGAGTGTAAGTAGGCATAGTAAACCATTTTCATTACTTCATGAGACATATAGGGTTTAATAGATCTGAGTGCATAACAAGCTGCACTTAACATGTGTAGTTCCTGCTCTGTATGTATGTAATTTCCAAGAGATTATACTGTAGGACCCTTTATAAATGGCTTATCCGATCATNGCCAGTGTACTGTCTATAAGTAATCCAAGGAAATTTGTGTCATGTGCTTTAAAAATTGTTTTATTAGTGTAGCTTTCATCCAGGTTAATTTGGGGTCCATTTTTAGTTGTAAATTGTATGAGATGTTTTTTTTCTTCAAAATTTAATAAAGAAACTAATATTGGCTGTGAACCATTTATTTAAGTATTCAAATATTGACCTTATATCACTTATAATATCTGTGGGTTTAGAGTGTGTAACTACTATTATCTGCAAACAGATTGGTTTAGATTTATTCCTGACAAAGTTTTGTAAGTCATTTATATCAAGAAAAAAGAGCAGAGGAGTTAGTATGGATCCTTGTGGGATGCTTATGCCTTATTTTACCCCATTTTGAAGCTATCGGGTGACTAATGTGTATGTTTTTTTTATTTCCACCTTTTGATATCTATCAACAAGGTATGATTTAATCCAGTTATTGGTCTTACCAGTTTTTCCATGCCAATTTAATTTGAGCAGCAAAGTGTCATGATTAGTGTAGTCAGACACTTTAGCTAGATCACAGAAGGTCCCGCCTACTAGTTATTTTTTTATCAAGGTTACCTATGATGTCATTACTTAGTTCATAGGTTGTTTTTTCCATTGTTAGATTTTTCTAAATCCACATTTTCATTTCGCTAGTATGTTATTAATTACATGTTCAAGTAGTTTGTTATATATTACTTTTTCAAAAATATACATATATGATTTGGAGGTGAGGTAATACAAGCAGAGCTGATTTTAAATAATTTAGTGGATATTTCATCATATACACATGTATTTGTAGGTTCAAGGGATTCAATGGTGCTTTCAGTTTCCTTTGTTGTTGAGTAGAGGAGCAAGGAATATATAGGGAGTTTCACTGGAGACACTTCTTTTTAAGTAGCTGCCCAGAACACCTGAGATGAATACAGTGGGCACACACTGAAATGATTCATAGAGAACTAAATTTTGATAATGTTAATTGAAGTGACTTCAGTGTGATCCAATTGCATTAACAGTGTCATACTCTTTGATTCAGATACCAGACACTAAGTTGGTCATAATATACATTTTTTGTTCTGAATGTGTGACTCTGATATGACAGAATCTTGATTCTGGGTGTTTAGGACCACGGTGTGATGTGTGTGCTGACAACTACTTTGGCAATCCTGAGATTCCTGGTGGATCTTGTCGCTCCTGTAACTGCAGCAACAATATTGATGTGTCTCGCCCTGGTAACTGTGATATTCGAACTGGTGAATGTCTTCAGTGCCTTTTCAATACAGAGGGCTTTAACTGTCAAATATGCAAGGCTGGATATTATGGAGATGCCATTAACCAAGAGTGCAAAGGTAAGTTTGAGTGGGAAGTGTTTACTTGGAAGCAAACTGAAATGTAGAGGCTTCTGTATCAATGATTTCATGTCTGACCATGCTAAGTAAGATAATTTTATGTGGTGAAAATAACCTAATTTTGAAACAGCCATTCTTATTCCATTTATCTAGCATGAAAATTATGAAAAGAAAAACAGGTTATGAAAGGGAGAGTTGAATTGTTTATTGTTCCCATGCATGTTAATACAGCATATGGCCCATTTTGTAGGCCTGCATGAACCAAAGTGACACTGAGTTTAATGTCACACTCAACCTGTCATATCACTACTGACCTCCAGATACTGGCTCATTTGTTTCTTTCTTTGATAAGGTGCCTGTGTTCCACAATTACCACAATAGATGTGTGACATAGTAGTTATCAAACAAGTTGGCTCAAGCTGTATCACTTCCGTTTTGTATTTGGAAGGTGTCTGATTTGAATCTCAGCTGGGACACTGATTATACTGACTGATTATTTTCTGGTTGTCCTGTCCCCCCTTTAGGCAGGTGCTGAGCTAGTACCTTAAAATTAGGCTTTGACCACTTCTTGCACATCCTTTCCAATTCATTATTCACTGTCATCAAATCATATGACTATATACTCTGAGTTATTGAGAGTGTTGTCAAATATACTACAAACAAGTAAACAGACATGTTAAGTAGACATTGAAAATTGCTTTGAAATGTGTCCAGCAATTGAAGCCATCAGGTTAATCTTGTGTGAAGGTATTGTTGTATGAACTTTTCACGTGACTTGACTACAGCTCTGCAAATGAAATGCGTGTGTGCATTTACACAAATATCCACTGTACACTTCTTGTCACAATAAATACAGTTCTTTAATGTAAGTTATTTTGGAACATGGTGTGTGTGTATTTTGTTTTGTTTCAAAGTTGTATAATTTAATTGTATTCGTCATTAAGAAGTTTAGAAAAATTGACATTATTTAAACGTAAAAATATGATTTAAATTAAATGTTACACTTATTAGTTAGTGAATGGGATTTTAAAGGTTCACAGTATTTGGTCTTAAAATGTATGCCTATTTCAATTAACTCTTCATCTTTTTACTGATGTCTGCTATTCTGAAAGCACTAAGGAGAATTCTCAGTTACTTGTGGGCAGATATTGAATTCCTGATTACCCATATTTTCTATATATCCATGTAGAAGAAATTAATAATTATTACATGAAGAAATGAAATTAAGCGTTAAATAAGAAAACATCATATAGGACCAAGAGCTGTTTTCTTCATGAGACAATAATGCAAAATAAGGAAAATATATTTTTTGTAAAATACATTAATATTAATACATTGATATGGCTCATTTTGAATTCTAGAATGAACTGCATTAATGGGTAACATGTTGTAACACCGCAGAATTAAATGTAGTTTATGTTGGATTTAACTGATGAAAAATAAGTTTTTAACTTCATATAGAAGTTCTTTTCATGTTCATTGTTCTTCATCGTTCCTAGAAGGTGAGAAACAGATAACGCTCATCTTCTGTTAATTCCTCTACTGAATGAAATATACTATATGTTGCAATGGGAAGGATCTGATTTCCTTTTTAAACTGCTTTTTGTTTGTCTTTTTCTTCATTTTCCTTATTTGATATTTGATTCATAATGGATTGTTTCCTGCAGAGTGTACATGCAACCTGTTGGGCACAGATGCAGAAGCAGGTCCATGTAATCGCAAGACAGGGCAGTGCTCTTGTAGACCAAATGTGATTGGCTTGAACTGTGACCAGTGTAGAGAGAACCACTGGAAAATTGCGAGTGGAATGGGTTGTGAGGCCTGCAATTGTGATCCTGTTGGATCTGTTGCTGAACAGTGCAATCAAGTGAGTGGACAAGTTGGAAACAGAAGTTACACATTGAAGTGACACACCCAAATTGCATTTTTTCATGCATGTATGAGATTAAGTACCAGAAACATACTGAATGAGCTGAACTTACTTAACAAATGTTGTAATGGAACTGTGAGGGGCCTCTGTTTGGGTGATGATAGATTATAAAATGAACAAACTGGAAGTACTGCTCATATTCAGCCATATTTCCAGGACCTCATTGATCCCAAGTTTGTTCCTGTTTTCACAAATGATCGTAGTATGTAGGAATTGAGGTTCTCACAGCCATGGTTGTGAAGAGTTCCATCTTGTGGAATATAACACCATATAGCTCGTTGAAAGTCAGCTGACATTTTGGAGGAACATATCACCTCCATTTTCTGCTTGCCACCTGATTTCTTGCTGGTTCCTTGTTTTGCTTATTCTTCAACCCTGAAGATGGAGGTGATATATTCCTCTGAAATGTCAGTTGACCTTCAACGGGCTACATGATGTCACATCCCAGAAGTGACAGTATGGTATCCTACAGTCACCATCAATACAAGAGTTTACCATTGCGAGTTACTGAGACTAAAAGCACAAAGAACTACTTCCCAAAAATCAGTGTTAAAGGTATCATCAAGTGTATGCTTTGGTTTCTTTGTATGTTTTATCATGAGAATCTTGTTACACACCTACTGTAGTGAACTCTCAAAGTTAACCCTTTACTGAAACTCTGTATACAGCCCATCGTGTTTCTATAATCACATTCCCCTGAAAACTTATAATTTAAATTCTTCATATAGTTTGTATTTAGGAATAAGCTGTTCTTAACACATTGCAGAGCCTAAAAGTTTTTTGTGCAGCAACTGTCAGCACTTGTACAGGTTGGGTCATGTAATAACATGATTTAGCAGTTATATGTTATATATAGTCATTATAAATTTGTCGTTTGGTTGGAGTATGTGTCTTGGTGGTTCAGGAAGCTTTGAGTAGAAGATACCAAGTACACAAGAGTATAAATTCCTTTTTACATAACCACTACCATTGTCTGTCATACCTAATATAAACTGTGTATTGATACTGCTGTGTTCTAGTTCAGATTCTGTGAGCACCAGTGACAATGGTTGCTGAGTTGGTTCCCTGTTCCTAATTAATTGTTCATGTAGCTATTAGATGACACCTACTGGTCCTGGTTCCATGCAACATATGTAATCACTAGCATATTATTTGTCAGAAAGAAATAATTTGTGATAGAAATTTTGTTGACAATGATTCAGAAGCCACACATATTAATGAATAGGTGGTCCAGGGAAATAAAGTGAATTGGGAATTTTTCTGTGGAATAGAGTAAGCACTCTTTGTGGATGGTGAATGTGTTTGACCCGGAGTTTATTTTAAGTATGTTAATAATTTTAGTTTGTAATTGTCTGAATTAAGTTAGATCTATATGCATTGGGATATTTCTGCTTCTGGAATCATGTAGTTTTAATGACCATTTCATTACCTGGAAAAATTATGTGCTGTTAGTAGAGAATCATATGGTACAAATATTATGTTTATGGACAGTATCCTGTTTATATTTCGTAATAAAATCTTTTGGAGACTGTATTCTGTCTCTGTCTTCAGGTAAAACCTACTCAGTTGGGCCCAATTGATAGAGCTAGCCCCTATCGCTGGAGATAGGGACTAGTTCTGTGGATTGGGTCCAATTCAGTAGGTTTCACCTGAAGACAGAGATGGAATCCTGTTTCTGAAACATCATGTTTTGAAATATAAACAGGACAGTGTTTTAGATAAAAAAAAGGACACTGGATAATGTCCAGAAATATAATATTCGTACTAATGTACCATTGTCACAAAATTTTAGATCATAATATCTTATGATATTTAGTTTTTGGGAGAATGATGACTGACTGCTTAAATGTTATGATGTACTCTTGCTGATTGCAGAGCACAGTACAGAGAAGAAAATATACTTTATCATTTAGTGATCTGTGAATATTGTTTTTTTTTGGTAGCTTATTGTGGAGCTATTTTTGCACTGTTTCTGTGCCTTTGAGATATCTCTTTAATGAAGAATACAGTTGGAGAGGAGCAACAGAATGACTTTGTGCACTAGAAACTTACACAAGAGTAAACATAACATCTGTTGATCTCTGGTTCACTCTCTCTGTCTTGAGCTTTATTCTCTGTTGTCCAGATGCTTCAGATTGCTAGACTTGAGTGTCATGTTCTTCTTACTAATTAAATTAATTAAATATTCCAAATTGACATCAATCAGTTGTCTTCTGTGAAGAATAAGTGATTCATTTTCTGAGTTTGAAGGCAGATTTTGTCAGACTTAACCCAATAGGAATTTATCACTTTTGTATGTTGTTTTTATTATATTATTTAGAGACCTGAAGGTTTTTGTTTGACACTTAATAGTATTTTGCATTATAAGTGGTATTATATTTAATCTAATTCAGATTCCATTATTATTTTAGAAGGGCATATCATAAACATCAGTTTCTCAAAGATATATAACTTTTATTGCTGTTATGTGTAAACCAACCACTACTGCTGAAAACAATAGTTTTCTTTCCATTGCTTCTGCTGCTACCACTGCCATTACCACCACGGCTGCTGACACCACCACCACCACTGCCACCGCCACCACAGCAACACCAGCAAAAATAAATGCAATGAAACCCCCATTTAATGTTCTTTGATATAAAATTTCCCCTTATTTAATATCCAATTCCAGTGATCCCATCAATCATTTCAGTGTTTGATTATCTCCATTTAAGATTGTTCCCAGTATAGTGTTCAGATCTACTGCTCAAAGAAATTTTTGGGGGGGTTTTACTGTAATAAATACCTTTCAGTTATAATCTTCATGCAGCTTGTAATATATGGTGTTCTGTTATTCATTTATCTGTGCACTTGTTTTTTCAGTTTGATGGACAGTGTGATTGTAAGCAAGGTTTTGGAGGACGTCAGTGCAATCAGTGTCAAGATTATTTTTGGGGAAATCCAAATGAGAAATGCCATGGTGAGTCACAAATGTTGTTTCATTGGTGGATGAACATTTCATTAGATTCAGTAGAATCTCATTTCAAGTGCAATATATTTTACATTTTACTCCATTTAATCATTGACTGATCATTGATATTCTTCTGAGTAATTCAGTGGTTTATATGAGTCTTTTACTCTTCCAATCACAGATCTTTGTAAATCCTATTCAGACATGTGATGGGACATCATTTTATGAAATAGATGTTACATTTATAACAGATCACATTTTATATTTGAATGTAGTTTTTAGAAGACATTTAATGAAGGGAGATGAAGTGCATTTGGTCTCAAAAGGACCAGGTTTGTACTTGAAGATTTCACTGTATACCTGGAAGTTTGTGTTCATTTTCCTCAACATTTTGAACTATGACTAGTTACACAGAATATGGTATTGCAGTTGAGTGTGACATGGTATTCCAACTTATAGAGCTTGGTTTTGTCTGTATTGTTTAAGTTGTGTGTTGTTTATGCATAATTTGCTACGTGAAAAGAGCTTGAATATGTTCACAGATAAATGTTACATTTTTTAGATGTGAAATTCAGTATATTTAAAAGGGCATTGCGTTTTTCAAAGCCTATTATATCAAAAACATTGAACATTTATATTACTATAGATTATGTTACTTATGTCACAATTTAATTGCACTACTCATAGAAAGGTCTGCTGCCTGAACATGGAGTTATATACACAGTGGTAATCATATCTCTTTGGGTTTTTGGAAGATGGTTGCAGCTGGCTCTAGTCATATTATTTACACTCTTACTTAATTCCTTTTGAATTTTCTAGGCATGTGCAAGAATGAATTGAATTGAATTTATTTACATTCTATAAATCCTAAGTAGGTTAGTACCTTTGGATACAGAACAAGTCAAAAGGTTACATACATAAGTACAGGCAATTTTAGCTTAAAAATTAATATAACTTAATTTTACATCATTCTCTATTTACATTGAAGTATTCATCTAAAGAGTAGAAGGAATGAGCATGTAGATAATTCTTTAACTCTGATTTAAACTTTTTAGTATCATTGCCCAAGTTTTTAATACTTTGTGGCAGATTGTTGAACACTTTTATGCCAGTAAAGTAGACTCCTTTTTGATATACTGATAAAGTTGATGAGGGTAGGTGGAAGTTATATTTTTGTCTAGTATTCATGTTATAGACATCAGAATTTAATTTGAATTTATCTTTGTTGTAAACAACAAATAAGAGAAGCGATAATGACTTGACAAGACAATAACTTGCAAAGCAAGAGCAGCTATCAGAAAATGTTGAGAGTTCAAGAATGAATTAACGTTTGAATCAAGATTGAGATATTTTTTCTCCATTTGATTTCAGAAGTTCAAGATTTGCACATGCTTTGAATTTTCTCCTTCATGAATTTAGAAATGTCTCTCTTATCTTACACAAAACTTCTTCCTCTTTCCTCCTTTTTCAAAACAGACATTTTACAGAGACATAACTGTTCAGTGAACACCCAGGTTCAGCAGTATGCATATGCAGTATTTCATTGAAATAATTGAAATTTCAAATATGCTTTTTTTGGAAAAGCTGATGTTATTACATGTCATACATGATGTAACAAAAACTGGAATATAGTGAGCACTTGCCCCATTGAAAAGCTGTGTAGTGAAACAGTGATGTATTATCAGAGTGATTTATAACTGCTATTCTTCAGTATTAATGCAATGTTTATTTTGTTTTGGAGCATTTTTTTTTTCTGATTGTTAGTAACCAGTTGCTTTCTTGTTCACTATTGTTTCATCTTACAATACTGTACTGTCTTCTTGCATTCACGAACTTGCATCTTATATTGCCAGCACTGTTTCATCTCTGTACACAAGTTCAAACTATGCTGCTAACTCAGCTGCACAGATCCACTAAGCTTGACTGTTTCTCTCAGACTGCCCTGCTGTACTACATGATTACAATTTTATTCCAGACATAGCCATTAAGGAAGCGTCTGGCCAGCAGCACAGGCTGGGCAGTTATGGAACAATCTAGAAACCAATGTATGAGTTGTTTTAACTCAAGAAGTATCCAGAGAGAGACAGGCATATGCTTGCATCTCCCCTCACTTACATGGCATTACTTCATATGATGTATTTAACATTTATGATCTGTAGTATGTATTCATGAGCCCAAATTAGATTTTTTCCAATGTATATGTGTGGACATGTACAGTGTTGACAGATTATCTGCTGTACACTTGCAGACTGTAGATAGGTTTAGCTGAGTGGTGTATAGTGTACATTACCATTTATACACTATTTATATTACAGAAGATAAAACTCTTCATAACCACTGCTGTGAGAACCTCAAAACCTACAATAATAATAATGTTTACAATTTTAAAGTGTATGGATACACTTTATATTTCAGTTCAGTTATTACATTTTTGTTTTTAGTAAAATGTTAATCATAGTTTGTGAAACATTTTTGTGCCTGTTACAATATTTTTCTGACGTGCTCTTCAGCTTGTGACTGCAATCCTGATGGGTCTGCCACACTGCAGTGTAACCAGGGCAATGGCAGTTGTGTTTGTATGGTGGGAATTGGAGGAGAGAAGTGTGATCGGTGTGCTCGAGGATACATTGGGTCTGCTCCCCATTGCAGACCTTGTGGAGAATGCTTTGATAACTGGGATAGAATACTGAATGATCTGAATGGTAAGTGTTGCTTCACAGCTCCTTTTCAGGTTAACTATTAAACTATTCCTGAAATCTAGTTTAAGCACATTCATTTGATGTCTAATATATATATATATATATGTGTGTGTGTGCCATATGTTCACTGCACAGGCTTATTAGATATCTGGGAAGCTTCTCAGAACATCTTATCGGCAGACACTGTTGTGTCCCTCAGCAAACTGGAGGTCATTCATTCGGTGATCACCTGATCAGTGAGTCAGTCAGTGTTACGCCATCGAGTGTTATAGAAGCTTCATTCTATTCTCCTCTGTCCTCTGTTCTGTGTCTTTATGGTTCATATGAAATACAATTTAGAACAAAGAGTTTTCATTTATGATTACTATGTCAAAAAAAGACTCATACAAACTGTGCAGGAGAAAATTTCGCCGTAAATTTCCCAACAACACGTCCATCTGGAGATACAGTTTCCAAATTAGTGAAGAAAGTTTGACCCAACGGCATGGTAATCGACAGAAAGCCCTTAAAAAGAAACAATGTTTTAACTGAGGAAAGACTTGATGACATTTGTCATTGATTAGAAAATTCTGCTCCGAAATCTTTGCTGTGATTATCGCAACAAAGTGGTGTTTCTGTAGGCAGTGCATGGAAAGCAACTGAACCGTTGCATATTCATCTGTATAAAATTACTGTTGTTCTGAAACTAAATCTGTGAATTATGAAAAAGTGTAATGTTTTGTAATTGGTTTATCAATCATGTGCATGACGGACTTTTTGATGAGGCTACTTTTAATCTCTCGGGATATGTTAACTCACAAAACAATACGCATTAGAGTAGTGAAAGTCCACATATGCTAATTCAGCTTCTGCTTTATGACCAAAAGATAGGCATATGGTGTGCGATTAGCACAAACCATATCATTGGACTGATATTTTATGAAGGAACTCTTGATGCCCAATGATACATTAATGAAATACTCAATCTTTCTTGTTAATTTGGCACCTGCAGAAGAAAGATTCAGTTATTTTATGCAAGATGGCATGACCACACACACACACACAGCTAAGGAAACTACCTGAGCATTATGCGGTGTGTTTGGGGAGTAAATGGAGATAGAATTATTAGCAAGGGCTTGTTGTCCTCCTAGATTCCCAGATCTAAACACATGTATGTTTATTTGTGGGAAAAACTCAAAAAATGTTGTGTATGCCAACAATCCACATAATCTGGATGGTTGAAAACAGAATATTTATGAAGCAGTTTACAACAATCAGCAATGTGAATTGCGACAACTGTCCCAAAACCTTTTTGAATTAATTCAGACATTTCTCACAGCAGAGGGCAGACATTTTGAACATCTATGATGGTGAGTACAATATTAATTACTATATTTGATTAATAATTAATGAAAGAAATAAACAATATGTGCTATTTGCTATATGTATAATACAAACTCAATCGTAAATGTGTTGCATTTACAATGGAGTTTGTATTATACATATAGAAGTGTGGAATGTAACAGGATGCTTAAATATAATATGTGCTACCTGTGCTGGCTGCGTGGCAGCATTTTTCTCTACAAGTGACCCATCGCTTTCACAGGAAGTTGCTGGCGGTAAAATCAATGTTCAATCAGACTGCACTTTGAATCTGGAGTATATACACATACATATACTATGTGTCTGGTGGACAAGAAGACCCTAGCTCAAAAAATGATGGCCTTTTTGGCTGTTTTGAACAGGATATGTATCAGACAAATGTTGCTTATATGGACTTTACTGTATTTTTTTTCTAAACATATTTTAATCAGCCTAACTACTTTCATGTTTATTGCAGACTCAGTGAGAATATTGTGTATTGCTGCTTGAGAAACATTTACAGAGAAGAATATGACTTTAGAGTTGTTTCTATTTCTATGCTAACTGGCAAGTGATTGTCTTAATGTCTTCTCCTGAATTTTATCAGCTGTGACCAAATAATCATTGAATTGTTCTAGCCTTTGTTCAAACTGATATTCTGACACAGGACCCTGCGGTTCAAGAAGAGAAGAAAATGTATGTTCATCTTCAAAGTAATAGATTGATGTTTTGATTCCAGACCAGACTGAGAGAGTTATTCAGGCTGCATCTGAGATTAAACAAACGGGAGCAACTGGTGCCTACACACGAGAATTTGAAAAGATGGAGGAGCAGCTTGATGAAGTGAAACAGTTACTGGAGAACACAACTGTTAGCTCACATGATCTTGAAAGACTAGAAAGCTTGGTGGAAAAATTTAGGTATGAAAAATCGCAATTTCTGCAAAACCAAAATAACCATTTCAATTTTGTTGTGTAGTGTCTTGTTTAAATTCTCGATTTCAGTTCCATAAACATTGGAACACTGTATGTGAACTGGTCTTTCGTCACACTATTAGCAACATTTGTTTGAACTGAATCTATAAAGAACAATAGGATTTTGACATTCAAGGCAACATGGATAATAGAAAATGGTGAGTTGAAGCATGTGTTAATTTCATGTGGAATGATTTATTACATTTAGTACAGACAGCTGTTATCTAATGTGAGTGAGAGCTTGGTGTCTTTTATAACTCATGTAATTATCAAATGACTTGGATTTATTTCATATACGAATTGTAGAGTTGTCCACTTCTAAGGAAACTGTCCTTTCTGTCTTAGCTTGCTTGGTGATAGGTTCAGTATCTAGAACAGAGACTTTGGATGTTTTCCCTATGACTACTGATCATCCTGCTCTCACTTGCTGACTGAAACATAGGCCACTGTTTTACTAAGAGAGAAAATCGAAACTTGCTGTGTCCTGAGGTTGTTGACCTGAATACTTCCATGTATTGCAAGTCATGTGTGTACTAATGAATGTATATGTGCATTTCAGGACTGATGTGAACAGGTCTTCTGAGAACTTGGATGAAGTTGAAAAGCTTCTTGATAACACTTCATCACGCATATATGAAGCAAACTTAAAATTGACAGATCTCAGAAATGCTGCTAGTAAGCTCAAATTTACTGCCTTGGGCTTAAAAGAAAATGCAACCAAACTTCAGGAGGCAAATGTTGAAGGTAACTGATGTATAATGACTGAAATGTACCAGTACAGCTGATGTCTGAGAATCATCAGAATATATTACTTCCACACCAAATGTGATTTCAAATTATGACACACCATATTCTGCCAAATGTATGACTGCCCAAACACAGTGTGGCCATATGAGTATGGCATTTGCACTAATGCTGTTTGAAGTAACACAAAAGTCTTACATATAATTTTCTAATAGTTCAGTCTGTAGGGCAACTATAAAATAACCAGACTAATGCTCTAAAATCTGTTATTCAACTAATCCCCTTCCCGACCCTTACACCACTCCATGCGAATTTTCTGCTGTTGGAAGCAATGCTGCAAGTCCTCTTCTGATAGCTTCTTCATTACCTCTGTTGCTTTTGCCTTCACTATATTTACAGACTCAAAACGGATTCCTTTTAATGCAGACTTGATCTTGGAAATACAAAAAAGTCACATACATACATGCATCCGTCCATCTGCGTTTCAAGATATTCATAAGTGCAATCTGCACTGAATATGAAACATGTCACAAGCTTTACAAACAAAAATACATCTTTACAATTCCAGCATGCCGTATCACAATAACAAACAAACATAAATGCAAACAACATGCAGCTAAATAAATACATAAAATACAGATTATATTTACACTTAATGTCTATATTGATGCCTACTGTGGAACATCATCAGTCAGCATGCACTCCCCTTCTATTCCTAAGCTGTTGATCCCGACAGAAGAGCAAAAATTCATCAACAGTATATGATGGATTATGTATTAGGATATCTCTTATTTCTTTTATAAACTGTTTGTAATCATGTACTAAATTAGTTAAATAATCAGGCAGACTATTAAATATTTTTATACTCATGCAGTGAACTCCTTTCTGCCTCATTGCGAGATGTGATTGTAGGACATGTAAATTTCTTTCGTGTCTTATCTGTCTCTCATAAATTGAATAATTAAAAGTAAAATATTCCAAGTTATTTATCATAAAAGTCATCAGAGATAAAATATATTGAGAGACTAATGTTAATATATTTAACTTTATAAATGCTGGCCTACATGACTCTATGTTTCATCCCCATTATTATTCTAATAGTCTTCTTTTGTAAGAGAAAGATCTTCTTCGCCTCTGACGAATTACCCCAAAAAACTATTCCATATCTCATGAGTGAATGAAGTATGCATGATATATTATTTTAAGTGTTGTAACATGACTATATGTTTTCATAATTCGTATTGCATAACATGCCTTTCGTAATCTGGGTAACAATGATTCAACCCGTGTCTTCCAATTCAAGAACTTATCAATTTCAATGCCCAAAAATTTAATATGAGTTTCCTCTTGTAATAATTCATTGTTAAACTTTAAATGTACAGGCATATTGTCACGATTGATTGTTTGAAATTTTAACACTTTAGTTTTCCTCAAGTTTAGGGATAAGCCATTGTATTTAAACCACTGACTTAAGGAATTTAATGTAAGTTCAGACCTTTCTTGAATTTCATCGATATTAATACCTGACACTAATATAGTTGTATCATCAGCATGCAACAGTGACTTGTTATCAGTACTTAATGCTGATGGCAGGTCATTGATATATAAAAGGAACAACAAAGGACCCAAAATCGAGCCCTGTGGCACTCCATATTTGACAGTTCCCCAGTCTGAACAGCATTTTCCATTTTCATTATTATAGAGTTCAACTCTTTGTCTTCTATTTTCCAGATAGGACTTCAACCATATTTTTATTTTACCACCATTGCTGTACGTTGCTAATTTACTCAAAAGAATATCATGACTCACACAGTCAAATGCTTGTGTCAATTCACAAAAAAATTCCCAATGAATGATTGTGTCTTTCCAACGTTTCTAAAATATTGTGACGTGTTGCGCAAAGGAGGAAAACAACTCACCCCGCCAGCGGTGACATAACACTTTCAGAGCGTTGCCGTTGCTATGGTAATAAGCCAGTCAACACCCCGCCTCTCCCCGCGGTGACGTAACACGGGATGCTGCCGTTGCTACACAGCAGGAAGCAACTCCTGACAGCGTTGCTAGCAACATGGCGCCAGACAACAGTGATGCCTATTATGTGGCTGTTTTCTGTGTTGTCTGGAACGAGGCTAAATAAGGAGCAGCGAAGACTACTCACAGTCAGTTCTCGAGTTTACAAGATAGTTACGAGTTAGCCAGGCAGTCAACCCTTCAGTTGTAGTCTAGCATTTGCAGTCTAGTATTTGTGATACTGCCAATGGCAGTATTTGTCAGATTGTAATTTGTGTGATTGTAAGAGCGAATGTGAAATAAAATTCACTATATCCAGCATGGCGTGAATTTATTTGTTGTGTTATACACCCAACATGTGACAATATGATTAGTTAATGTATATATTGCCATTTCTGTGTTACTGTTTTCTCTAAATTCAAACTGTGCAAAAGACATTAAATTGTTTTTGTGTAAGTGTTGTTTTATCCTATTATACACCGCTCTTTCAAAAATCTTAGAAAACTTATTAGCAATGATATTGGTCTATATTTTGCCGTAATTGCCTTCCCACCTGTTTTGTATATAGGTCTTAATGAGGCAAATTTCATTCTATCAGGATGTATTCCATGCTCAAAAGATGCATTAAATATGTGACACAATGGTTTACTTATCTCAGTTATACAGTATTTCAATATCTTACTAGAAATGCCATCATATCCTGTAGAATCTTTTGATTTTTGCAACATAAGTATGCTCTTTATTTCCACCTCTGTCGTAGGTATTAGCCTCAGTTCAGGGAATCTATCAAATTTCTAAGTGTCTAAGAATTTAATAGCTTCATTTTTATTGGCACTTTTCATTTCCAAATTCTCAGCTACAGTTATAAAGTATTTATTGAATACTTCTGCTGCTTCCTTAGTATTAGTTTCTTTGCTTTTCCCCACTTTCAATTCGGTTATTATCTGAGCCCCTCCTTTTTCCAGTTTCTTTATTAATAATCTTCCAGGTTAATTGTATTTTGTTTTCCGAGTTACTTATAAGATTTTGGTAGTACAATTTCTTAGCTTCTTTTATCACTTTCGTTAATGTCATACAGTACTTTTTATAGTATGATTCCAATCTTTCATCCTTTGATTTTTTAACTAAGTTGTATAAAGCTCTTTTATGTTTACAAGATGTTCGTATACCTTTGGTTATCCATTTAGTGGTGTCTTTCTTTTTTTTTTTTTGTGCACCAGGGGAAAACTGTTTTCTAAAATTGTTAAGAAGGTATTATGAAATTTATTAAATTTCATATTAACTTTCTCTTGATCATAAACTGCTTCCCAATTTTCATTTTGTAATGCCCATTGGAAATATGCTATGTTCTCATCATTTATATCCCTAAATGCTCTTACATGGTGCTAGGTCATACATACACACACACACACACACACAGAACATACATGTATGGATCGGGCCCCACAAACATGCACAATTACATATGCACATGTATTCAGAATCTGTTAGGTGAAATTTACATTATAAAGAAAGTGAAATAGATCCTTGATGGCCACGGTGCAAGGGCCAGATTATTGTGGCCCACCCCTCATATATTACTCGTATAAAGAAAAAATTAGATTTATTTTGAACAACTGTGAATAGGAAGTGTACCAGGCACATATTTAGATTAAAAATCTTTACTATATTTTTCATTCCATTGTATTCTGATTGTCCTAATTGGTTTTCGTACACATTCGATAGAATGGTGTATGGGATTTTTTAGCCAGTGTAATTTAAATATTCCCTTCTCCTGTGATGGAGGATTTAAAGGGTACAGAAAAAAAAAATAATTTTATCAGTTCTTGTGTATAAATTATGAAATTTTCGACATGTAAGGAAAGTGTTGTACCAACATGCAGAATAAAAAATTGAAGAATTTTATTTTCAAGCATGGAGTGATATCGATGCTGTAAATATTGCCACCTTGGTCACAACCTTGGTCACCCTGGTCCTTGTCTTATGGAACACCATATGGATTCTTTAGACTTTGACTTGGTTACTATTGAACATTTCAACCTTGGTGCTGTGTATTGCAGAAATACTTTAAGTAAAGGTGGTGTATGTAGTTTTGTGCATAATTCCTTAAATTTCTCAAATATTAACTTGGATAGATTTTGCATAGACCAAACTATTGAAATATGTGCTATCAAACTCTTAACATCAGGGCGAAGTGCCTATATTGTGGCTGTCTATAGGGCGCCAACTGGTAATTTTTTGCAATTTTTAAATACCCTGGACAGTGCATTGAATGCTATCTATTGTCCTAATGTTGAATTTATTATCTGTGGTGATATAAATATTGATTACTTAAAGGACAGTTCAAGGAAAAGACTGCTTAATACTTTATTACTGTCCTTTAATCTTTTTTCCATAATTGATTTTCCTACTAGAAGTCAAAATAACCCTATTTCTTTAATTGATAATATATTTATTGACAATTCTCATTCTGGAAAGTACTGGGTTTATCCTATTATAAATGCTTTATCTGATCATGACGCACAACTCCTAATTATTAAAATGGTATGCAAATTCGTAAAAATAGAATTACAACTAGAAGAATTTTTAGTGATCAGCACGTGATAAATTTTAAAATGCAACTTAGTTTTGAAACATGGGATGATGTATTTAATTGTAACGACGTTGATACCATTTTTAACTGCTTCTTAAATACTTACTTGAGGATTTTCAACTCCAATTTCCCACAAAAAAAATAACTACTTCTAATTGGAAAATTAATAACTGGTTAACGCCTGGCATAAGAATTTCTTGTCAACGTAAGCGGGAACTTTACCTGCTTTACAGGAATAATAATGACAGTAATGACTCAAATTTTAAAAGATATTATAAATTATATTGTAAAAATTATCCAAGGTTATCAACGCGGCTAAAAGACTTTACTATGATGGTCAGATAGTAAATTCAAATAACAAAATTAAAACTACATGGAGTATTGTTAAATCTGTAACAAACAAGAATGTCGGGAACAAATCAATTCAATCAGTATGTATAAATGGTGTTCCTACTGAGAGTAAACGAGAAATTGCGGATACCTTTCAAAGTCACTTCCTATCAGTAGCTGATAGAATAGCTTCAAACTTCAAAAAGGAAGGGATAAGTGATACTAACTGCAAGGATTACCTATATAGCACTTTCAAGAATCCATACCCAAATATAATATTCGATCGTACAACGACTAAAGAAATTGAAAGTATAATTAAGTCACTTACGCCTAAAAATTCTTACGGATATGACGAAATCTCAGTAAAAATTCTAAAAATATGCTCTCCTTTCATCGCAACCCCCTTGAATTATATTTGTAATAGGGCTATATTATCTGGCACTTTTCCGTCATGTTTAAAATATTCTGTTATTAAACCTTTATTCAAAAAAGGTGGTAAAAAGATATAAAAAATTGTAGACCCATATCCTTGTTGACCTCCCTGTCTAAAGTATTTGAAAAAATGATATACATAAGACTTACCAATCATATAAAAATAATAATATACTATCTGTTGAGCAGTATGGATTTAGAAGTAAAGTCTTCAACAGAAAACCCTTCATTTAAATTGCTAAATGATGAAAGCAGTCTTCTGGGATTTGGCACCGTGTATATGTGGTGTTAATGATGTTCTCCAGGCCTTGAACAATAAGTCAAATGTAGGAGGTTTATTTTGTGACCTTGAGAAGGCCTTTGATTGTGTCGATCATAACTTATTAATGGAAAAACTTATGGAATTGTAGATAATGCACATGCTTTAATTCAATCATATCTCAATGATAGATACCAAAGAGTCTGCATTGATGATGATGATCAAACATGTTCTCATACTTTTCAGATTGGGGTAGGGCTAAGCGTGGTGTACCTCAAGGTTCCATCCTTGGCACAATCCTTTTTCTTTTTTACATAAATGATTTACCCAAAGTTGTAAATAATACTTCTAAGCCAGTTTTATTTGCCGATGATACTAGTATCATCGTCAGTAATCCCAATATAGGAAACTTTACAAACGATCTCACTCTTGTATTTGAACAATTGAACATATGGTTTAACTCTAACTTATTATTATTAAATTATAATAAAACACAATATGTGCAATTTCGAACCACCAATGCATTAACAACTCCTATAGATATTACCTATAAAAATAAACATATACCTAACGTTACAAACACTCAGTTTTTAGGTATCACTCTTGACAATTCCTTGTCATGGAAGGACCACATAGATGGACTTATGGCTAAATTGTGCAAGGCATGCTACGCTATTAGATTCTTAAGACCCTTTGTATCTCAAGAATCTTTGAGAATGATTTACTTCTCGTATTTCCATGCAGTTATGTCATATGGTATAATTTTTGGGGGGAATTTCTCACATAGTAGCAATGTATTTAAACTACAAAAGAGGGTTATAAGAATTATTACGAATTCTGGAAATAAGGACTCCTGCAGGGACCTGTTCAGAAAACTAGAAATATTGCCATTCTATTCTCAGTATATTTTTTCATTATTAAAATTTGTAATTGATAATGCTTCTCTATTCAAAACAAACTCTGAGATTTATGATCTTAATAGTAGAAATAAAAATAATTTTCACCTTTCACTACCAAGGTTGGCAATCTATAAAAATGGTGTTTATTATATGGGTATTAAAGCATTTAATCATCTACCTCCCTACATAAAGCAATTATCAGAGGATAGGCTCCAATTTAAAAATGTCCTAAAAATTATCTTTTATTGAATTCCTTTTATTCATTGAAGGAGTTCTTTGATGGTGAAATTTAGTGTCAAGGATGACATTGACGCTTTCACCCTATGGGTACGTAAAGGTTTTCAATCATATATATATATTTTACAATTAAAGTATATTTGAATTGTTTCTGCTTATTAGTATGTTTTGTGATTAGCAGATGGTGTTAGGGACCTATAATGGACTGCTAGTATTTGTTTGGTAGCAAGTATTTCTTGCCTTAATAGGTTCTACATTTGGTTTGCAGATGGATCTATGGAATTGGTATTTTACCTGATATATAGAATGAATCAGATGAATATAATTTTATGTTTTGATTAAATATTACTATAAACTTTATATTATATAATGAATTTTTATAACTTTGACTCATGCCTTAGCATACAGCTTGTTTATATTGTATCTGGTTTACTGTTATCAATTGTTGTATTGGATTATTGTCTTATCTCATATAATTTTGTCAATTTTATTAATGAAGTGAACCAGAATTAGAATTTTGATATTTATTGTATCCGATGTAAATTTGTTTATGCATGTCCGCTTTATGTTTTATAATTGTTTTCATGTATGTTTGTTTTGTTTTTTGTTTTTGACATGTTTCAAGTAATTATTGTAACTTAAATTTTGATCTTGTGACCCATTCTATATCCTATGGCTTGTATTAAGCCTGTATCAGGATCAATTAGAAAGTGAAATAAATGGAATGGAACAACATTTGTCACTGTTATATTCAGTGTTACTATATATACACATACAATAAGGCATTCACAATAATTATAGGAGACAGTTTATTTCTTTGTTCAATGATAGGCACTTATTCCCAACAACTCACTATCACCCAAACACAGACCAATATTACACTTTGGACAATACACACTACTGAACTTTGTAATGATTTTTCTGTTGTGATATTTCCGTTTATAAGTGCACAAACATATATGTTGTGATCTGTCTGACTGTTAGGAGTCCATTGTTGGAATTCTGTATGGATAATGCCCTCTATCTACAAGCATCTCCACAGAATTTGCATGGGACTGTTCTCTTATTTCAGGCACATTGTTAATGACTAGATCTTTTACCACATTTTTAATGAAGTTATGAAGCTGAAAAATTTTCTGTTTGTTTTTCAGTGTTAAACATGTGTAGTCAGAAGAGAAAGGTCAAAGATGTGCCAAAAAAGTTTCTTCCCCTTTCTCCTGATTCTCTTTGAAAAGAATAATATACCAGCAAGTGGTTGGATTTGTCAACAGTGATTGTTTGCTTCTTATAGTCTCTTATGCCTATGGATTTGTTTCTTTCCTGTATTGACCATGATTCTGGCACATCAACCATCTTATCTTGGATGGTGCTGAGTCACAACATGTATCTTACATCACACCTTTTTGTTGCAAGAAGATGCTCTCTTCATGCAGACAGTTTGTCACATTTTTTATGTTTTTATTTGCTATGGCAGTTTCCGCAGCTTTGCTTCATGCTCATAAGTAGTCAAAGAGTGTGGGACTCATGAGGCATTGATCCATGTTTTGTGTTTAACCATTATTTTATTAATAGGTTCACAGTGTCTGCCCACTCTATTGAAAGAACTGTTGAGGTCAGGTTCTGTGGGGTGTATACCAACATAAAGTTCCATGTTACATAATCTCTCAGATTCCAGATACTTCTATACCATATTTCTGGGGCTCTTCTCACACATATGTCTTGAAACATAGCCCTTGAAATACACAGATTTGTGGGGTTTCTCCCACAAAACACTGTAGCTATCACCATTGTGTACTTTCTTATAGTTCTCTGTAATGAGCATACCTTTACGATCATTTGTAACTCCTTTCTCTTTCCCCTGTCTCCTTCTCTTTCTGTCTCCCATATGCCATGGTAGGTTTCGTAAAGTGCGTGTCATATTGCATAATGATTTTTTCTTAGAAATTTTGTTGTACTGATTACATTCTTTTTGTAATGGAATGGAATTGACTGCAAACTCACATTTTCATTACAATAGTATTTTTAAAGTGAAAGATGTTTACATAAAGATAAGTGGTAAATTGATGAGGTCTAGGAGGTAACAACATTTTGCTGTACTTAAATCACTGAAGAAGGCTGTAATTAATAAATAAATAGGGGCTTCTAGAGGTTCTGTGGTTAATCAGGAAACTGAGTAATGCATAGTATGGGAAATGCATGTGCTGATAATAAGAGTCTGCTGTACTGTTGATTGACATCCATTTTATAAATGTTAGCTGTGTTAGATTCCTTGTACTGCTGAGGCAGTTATTCGTTATTTAAAAAAGATGATGTAAAGTTAGACTTCACTGTACTTCATAAACACAAGAAAATAAGTAGAAGAGGTGGTAGATTTTAAAACTACAACTCTCTCTTCAGTATGACAGAGTTTGTTGTCCACATATTGTTCCTATACAATGGTAGTTCAAAGTCTGACATCATAAAGTGGTATGTCATGATTTGATAGGGATGTTCATACTATGACTGTATTTATGTTGTTGAAAGGTGCATTAAATCTGACTCGTGAGGCCCAGAAGAGGTCCCAGAAGGCTCAAGAAGCAGCAGATGCAACAGAAGGAGATGTGGCTGACTCTGAGCGACAGTGTAAGAGAACGGAGACCATAGTGAACCGTACAGCAGACCAGTTCTACAGGAATCAGGAAGAGAATGAGGATGCACTTGAAAGTCTTACGGAGAGACTCAAGGAACTGGAAGCACAAATTCCAGACCTGAATGAGCTGGTGAGTATAACTGAAAGGAGTAAACTCCATATAATTTTGTATGAAACTATACCAATCCAATCCAGGAGCATGAAGGGCTATGTGACTTATACTTCTTATTAATCTTACATGGCTGTACCAAAATTTTGGTTTTATGACCTGATCATTCAAAAGACATTTGTCTTCATGAGTAACCCAAGAGAATGTAAAATGGGGTGATTTTATTACCTATTACTCTAACACTCCACTTGTACTTAGACTGTAGCATAAATTAGTCTTGAAGCCCCCTTCCCACAGGAAGCAGTATTAAAAAGTATATAAAATTAAGGTATCTTTGGATATAGGGAGCCATTTTGCATAATACTAGTGTTTTAACATCTGACATCATTATTATGAAATCAGGCATTCAGTCTGAACGACTTCTTTAAAATTTTATGTGCTTGTTGTAGGTGTGTGACAAACGAGGAAACCCTTGTGACCCACTGTGTGGAGGAGCAGGATGTGGAGTTTGTGGTGGGTTGTCATGTGAGCATGGGGCTATTACTAAGGCTGATAGAGCCCTTGGTGTTGCCAAGGATGCTGAGAAAGCTATTCGAGAGAAGGAAACTGATGCAGAAGAACTGCTTAGAGGGGTAATGTAACTTTTATTCAGGATTGAGAACTTGCTCAGACAAAAATTCTAAAATTGCTGAAAATAGAATATAGCTGAATCAATACTGCACTACCGAGAAAATTGAAAAATGGTTTATCAGTCCACTGCAGAGAAATATGTAAAGACAATAGGTATAGTCCTTATAAGAACAATGTCTTGTACTCATATCCTGAAGTGCAATGAGCCATCTCTGATAAATTTTAAAATTCATTTATAAAGAGAAGATACAGTATTGGGCACTATAGCATACGTTTTTTTGACCCTCCCTCCACTTCTTTCAGGCAAATATCTAATAATGTCTTTTCGAAACAGATTATGTCCACCTTCAGTTCACTCCTAATTATGGCTGGCCATTGGACCATACATAATTATGAAGTAACCTTTGAAACAGTCACTGATTTAGAGGAGTGCTCCAAAACTCTTTTATTTTAAGACTCCCTTGGTATGAATAAAAATGTTTCAGGCACCCCAACCCATGAAAAATACTTAAAATATGATTTAGCAATTTAAAAATATAGTTATTAATGAACCTTAATCACTTGTATGAAGTACTTTCTTTTGTTATATTGTATGCTTGTACTTTTAATGTAGTTATTTCTTATCAGTATCTATGTGTGATAACTGGGTCATTTGCATTTTTAGCAGCCCTCAGAAGAAGGCTTCATGGCTCTCTGAGGGTCTGACTCCCATTTAGGAAAACACATTTCAATTTTTTCTGCAGGGCTGAGGCTGGTAGCACTGTGCAACTGATTCAGGCAGAGAGGCCTTGGATATTGGTTTGCTGTAGAACAGAAGCATGTATCAGGCAGTAGGATGATGTAATTGTTAAGTTAGCCAAACCTGCAGGAAGTCAGATGTGTTCTGATATACAGTTATAAGTTATTTTATATACCTACGTATTGGAATTGTATTTTTTAGATATCCCAAGCAAAAGAGGAGACAGTTACAGCTAGAAACCTGGCTAAAGAAGCTTATGACACAGCTCTGCTAGCTGGTAATCAATCAGAGAGCATGGTACAGGAAAGGGCTGACCTTGTTGAAAAGCTGGATGAATTTCATGGCATGGCTGGTGCCACCCCTGCTGAAATCAGGAACCTCGCATTAGAAGTGAGTTATAGAATTAGTCATAGTAGTGTATTTATTATTGTAAGAATCTGGATTAGGATGGTTCATTTATAATGATAATTACCAGAACAATTCTGGAAATCTCTTAATTTTTTACTTGTGATTCATTTAATGTTTTTGTTAATAGCCCAGAACATACAATGCCGAATGGCAGGATGATTAGAGAGTGTTGATTTGAGAAGGAAGTGGTAGGAAGTTGTCATGGCCTGATTTGAGGTACTTTCCTGGAATTTACCTGAACAGACTGAGGAAAACCACAAAAAATCAATCATAATTGTCAGTGACCTGACAAAGATTTTCATAATTTCCATTCTCCCAACTGAGATGTGAACCAGATTATCTCCAAAATACAAATAGGAATAATTACTGTGTGATCCGACTTGCTTGGTTTCTGGGAATTATTTAGCCTGTAATTCAAGAACTTAAAGTATAAGAGCATGTATTTGATTACTTGCCTCCATCTAGAGTAAGAGTTTGTGAAATCTGATCTCTTGACAGAACAGGGTAATTAAGTCAAAATCAATACTGCCATCTATCATGTTAACGCAATTTCTGTCCTGATCTTTGAACTGCACAGAGGTAATGAATATTCTGCCATTAGTCATTTCCATCTTTTGCTACCTTTATATTGAATTTAGTTCCAGTCACATTGTGAACCACAGAAATAATGAGATGATAGGTATTATATTTGTTTTTTTTTTTTGTCTTATCAGACTCTTAACAAGGACATATACTTGCGCCCAGAGCAAATCACCAGTCTGACAAGCAGTATCAATGATACAATATCATCACTGAAAGATATTGATACAATTCTGGCAGACACTAGTGATGACCTGGAATTAGCAAATTCATTAAAGAAGCAAGCAGACAAAGCTAAGTAAGTATTCTTTAACCTGTGCTGCTGGATATCTTTAGGAATAATTTAATGTTAATTATAAATGCTGGCATCTGCAGTCAGAACACTTTGTTAACCTTTCTTGGTGTAAGAAGTTTCTCATTTGGAACTTTCTATTAAATAAAGCCATTTTAATAGTGGTATGTTTGTATGCACATATGACAGACTCCACATTTGCCAACAAAATATCTGTATTGAGCAATTCACTTTATCTTTAACATTTATGCACCAGTGCCATTCAAATGTCAGTTAAATTCCAAGATACCTGACATGCAATGATGCCATTTAAATTCCCAGATATGCTGTGCTGGCAGGATTCTGGAGGAAAATCATAAGAGTGTGAGTTTCTGTTAGATATTAATATGAATTTGACATGTGTAGGTAAAAGAATCCCACTAATATTGAAAGGAAAATAAGATTCTGATGTGAGTTTTGAGGTTCTCATGGCTGTGCCAGTGAAGATACTGTCTTCTGAAATGTGATAGATATTTGCTATCATTCTGGAGGAACTTACTGCCTTCATATTCTGGGTATGAGAGTAATCTGAGCAAGAAGATTTATGTTTGGGAGTTTGGGGAAATCAGTGATGTAAGTGTTCACATATCTTCAATGATTCTGTTGTTCACAGATATACACAGTGACACTTTACATATGTAATAAATATTGCCAGTTCACTCTCATTATGGATGAAAATCTTGGCACCCCTATTCTTCTGCAATTAATAATTATTCCAAATAGTTTACTCCCAAATGATGCACATCAAGATGTTCACATAAGCACAGCCTGACATCACATTTTGGACAGTACACTGTAGTAAATTTCTTGGTTGATTTTCTGGTGTGATGCTTTGCTTTGTCTGCACATACCATACAGAGATGTTTTGTGGTACCTGTTTGTTTTGTACTCGCTGGAATTATCTGGGTGTCTTCTGGCTGAAATTTTCTGTGACTCTGCTGCTGTTTGTATGTCTATGTCACTGACAAAATCTTCTGCTACTTTCGTCATGAATTTAAAAGGTCTAGAATTCTCTTTACTTTTCATTCACTACAAGATGTGGCCATTTACAAGGGCAAGGTTGAAGATGTGGAAGAAAAGTTTCTTCTGCCACTTCAGTGACTTTCTTTGAAATGAATAATAAGCCAGTGGTTGATCTGATTTGTCCACAGCAATCTTATATGTATTATAATTCATTATTTCCAAAGGTATATTTCTCTCAAGGGTTCCAATAGGTGCTAGTTCATCAACCATCTTGTCATTGTGTGTTGTGCTTTGGATGTAAACATCTTGCGTATCACACCACTTGATAGTGAGGAGCTGATTCCTTTGCGTGGACACTTTTTTCCTTTTTTCAGTTTATTTGAAAATGTTTTCTGTGACATCTTCTCTCTTAGCCATTACTGTTCCAACTGCTTTTATGTTCAGAGTGTACAGATGGTCAGACAATATGGGGCTTGGGAACGATCAATCCATATATACCATATACCTCTTATTTTTTATTGGTTCATAGAGTCCGTCTGCAACATTGAAAGAGCTGTTGTTTGTATCTGTGGTGTGTGGGCCAGCATACACGTCCAACTTTTAAATGTACCCACTTCTCTTTTCATCACATATTTATGCGTCTACCCTTTCATGTAAACATGAAAGTGTATGTATTCTTGAAAAGTGCACGTGGATTCATCTATTGTCATACATTCTTGAAGTGTATATACAACCTGAAGTTTTGTTGTGAGGTTTCTCAACACTGGTTTATCTTGAATAGTGAATCATAACCTGGCTGGACTCTGGCTTCTGACATTGACATGTAACATGGTAAGAATAGTTGTAAATCAGTCACATGAAAAACCAAGTAATTTTTCATAACTCATCTCTTTAATGGGATATGTCCTAAAGTCATGCAAATATGGCTTTTTTACCAGACATATATATCGTAAATGCAAAAAATAAATTTTATTTCCTGCAGATATACTTCTTTCTATTAAACATGAACTGATTTCTTCTTCAAAAGACATATCTGTGTCCTTTTATTGACATGTTATTCTGCATATCTGTTTGTTTCATTCTGAATGATTGTGAGAATTTCATTATTGAAATAGAGGCAGAAGAAATCTAACAAAGAACTATTTCAGTAATGACAGATTTTGAATTTAGTTGTGGGAGGCGAGAGAAAGTATATGTTTGGTGAGCAGGTGCTTTTTTTCTATCCCAGTTCCATGTGTGTTACACTCTGTGTTGGTCTTTGTTTCCTTTTCTGTCCTCTGTCAGATTCTGAGTAAAAAGGATGGGTTTTCCTCATTATTGATGGTTGGAGATAAGTATACAGTCTCTTCAGTATCTTGGCTGTCTTCAGTAAAGTCAGATTCATCAGAATCTGAATCATTCACAGTTTCCATAATACAAATAATACTTCTAATACTTATACAGTTGTGAAAAAAACAAGGAATTTCAGAGTTCAGTGTTTAAGTAGGATATGTAAGAAAAAGAATTTGGATTTTTCATCCATATTTATATAACTCCCATCCGTAAGGGTGTCATAATTTAAGTACGGATTTGGTATAATTGAGTCAGTAAAAAGTAAAACGTAAAGGTATCCCTGTAACAGGCCATGGAGGCCCATATTGTTGTGAGATGTTGAAGTTCCCACATTTTCTAGACAGTCGGCCCATAGATGGTGGTAAGGTTATCAGCCCTTTACCCCCAAGAATATTCCAAGAATATTCCTGGTACTCATTTCTGTTAGAGGCTAAGTCGACCCCAGGGCCATTTTTTCGCTTAGTGGGGGGTGGAGTCCAACTGGGTCTACTCGGCACAGCGGCCACTGATTGGCCTATTGTAGCCTGCCCCGGGTGATTATGATGATGGAGAATTTGGTGGAATGAAAATTGGCAGGGGAAACTGAAGTATTCGGAGAAAACCGCCCCAGTTCCACTTTGTCCACCACAAATCCCACTTGACCAGAGCTAGGATCGAACATGGGCCACTGCAGTGGGAAGCCAACCACTAACTGCTTGAGCTATGGTGCGGCCAGACCCCAGGGCCATAGTGCAGCTGGAAGGATTAGATAAATCAAAAAGAATCCAATGACTTCATCAGGATTCGATTCCACAACCATCTGACTTGTAGCATAGTGCCTCAACCAACTACACTACCACATGCCCGCATAATTAAGTTAGTATTATAAAAAGAAATTGATGATTTTTTAGACTGGATGCAGAAGGAATCCTGGATACAGCCCAAAGAGTTGTGTCAGCCTTGGATGAAGCACAAGAAGCTCAAATGAAAGCAGAAGAAGCAATTAAGAAAGCTCATGATGATATATCGGCAGCAGAAAAGGATTTGGCGCAGGTATACATTCATGAATATTGGTGGACCCTTGAATGGCTGAGTATACAAGGTGGTATCCATAGTTTCCAGGACTGGTGCTGCCATCTGGTCAAAAACTAACTTTGGGCCTACTGGCCACCATTACCCTTGAAGTAGTCCCACACACATGCACCATTCCCAGCACTTCTGCCATTTTTTTATATGCATCCTGGACATTGTGTTCTGTGAGGGTATTGAGCACTGCCTGCAATTCTGCCTCTTCAGTCAGGAAAGCAGAAAAGTCACAGGGGACCAAGTCAGGAGAGTAGGGTGCATGGGGGATGACAGTCATGTTGTTTTTGGTTATTGGTGAAAAAGGAAGTGTAAGTTGGTGGGTTGTCATGATGCAACAGCCAATTCTTTTGTCGCCAAAGTTCTGGGCAAATCCTTGCACATTTTCACTCAGTCACCATAAAATGTCACCGTAGTATGCAGAATTGACTGTTTGGCCTGCCAGGACAAATTCTTTGTGAACAATCCCCTTGATGTCAAAGAAAATGATGAGCATGCTCTTGACTTTGCTCTTCACCTGTCTCGCCTTTTCCAGTCTTGGTGAGTTTGGACTTTTCCATTGAGAGGATCGTTGCTTTGTCTCAGGGTCATAATCATAAATCCAGCTCTCATCATCAGTGATAACCCATGACAAAAAGGTTGCATTGTCAGAGGTAATCTGACAAAGCTCCTCACAGACGTTGACATGCTGCTGCTTCTGATGAGCTGTCAGAATCCTGGGCACAAATTTGGTAGTGACAAGATGCCCAGTTCAGCATCCGTTGGCATGTCCCATAACCAATGCCCATCTCATCAGCAGGGTCTTGAATGGTTCGACATTGATCCTCATGAATTATCTGTTGAAGTTTGGCAGCAGTGTTGGGTGTTGTGCAGCCGATGGGCCTACCTGTGTGTTGGTTGTCCTCATTGGATGTCTGACCAGCCTTGAACTGAGTATGCCATTGAGACACCTGTGTATGGCTCATGCATTCTTCCATGAACGTTTGTCTAATCATTACCATGGTCTCCATCACACTCTTTATGAGATTTGCACAAAATTTGATGCACACTTGCTGTTTCTTTGTCAGATGCATTGCAAAATCACCTCAGGCTAGGCACACGGCTCCAAATAAAGGGACATAAGAAATCAGCACATCCACCCAGCTGCACGAAATTTTGTGCACTGACTCCAAAGATATTGTAACGTGTTTCGTTGCTGAAGACGCCGTTTGGATTGTTAACTGGTTTATTCAACAACCTACAAATATCGGCTACAATTAATTATCACACAGTTGCGGGGTTTCACACTTTATAACCCTAATCGCAATAATCTGTTAAGACTGTTGCGGGGTTTCACAATTTATAACCCTATTCGCAAATCAGTTCACTCTGTCTTCAGTAGTCTACACGTTTACAGTACGGGAGCTATGTATCACTGTATCACACGCTCCCAATTACACAATTACACACACGTCCGGTTCTTCTTTCCGCGACGGCTGCTATACTCCAACTGTAGTCGGCTGACTGGAGAACTGTTGATAACACACTCGCTCGTAGGCTTGCTCGGAACTGAACTCGGCGATGGCCACATTTCAACTCACTTTGCAGGCAGCGCAGCTCTCTTATATAGGGGCTGTGTGGGCTTGTTATGTAGCAACGCTGTTACCTCACGCCGTCTTACGTCACCGTGCATTGCGCGTTACGTTAACGTGCGGAGGGGGAGGAGGGGAGCGCTGACTCGTCCGCCACGTCACTGTGGCCTGAGTTGCCACGTTGCTGCTGGGTAGGGAGGGGTTCTCCATTGTGCAACATGTCACACTATGTTACTACTACCATCTACCATTGTACCGCGGCACTACTGCTGTACAGATGGCAGTACCAGTCCCAGAAATTACGGATACCATCTCGTATATATCTGATTGCCATCTACACCTAATTTATCCGAAGCATTTGAATCTTGTGAGGGACTGGAGTTTAAGGATGCCTAGAAAGTACTTATAACTTCATGCATCTCACATCTTTTTGCTCTCTTCAGTCTAGTATTAACCTATGAATGTGGAGTGCAGTGGATTACATATGGATGACTGCTTGTGCTTTATGCTTCCATCTCATGAATAATATTTGAATTACATGAATTTTGCTTGCATATTCAAGATGGTCAAGACTATGGCTTGGTATGTATATTGACTGGATTTATAGATTCTTCTTTGAGTAAATGATCTTGAAAATGTTAGTTGCAAAACAGCTGTTAGTAAACATGGCATCAGCTAGTCTAATTCAGATATTGAAGATAGTCTGAGGGAATGTTCTTTTATTCTTATGACAGTTGCCTTGATTCTAATGACAAGAAGATAAGAGACTTATTGCTAGTTTTGGAGTCTGTGTTATATGGTGTGTTCAAATTTAAATCCCAAGTGGAAACTACTTCTGAGTAGGATTTGAATTTCTCCATGTAAATGGGTTAAAATGTGGATTAGCAAATGCTGACTTTTTTTTTAATCCAAACAAATTCAGACTTTACTATAAATCAACGTCTCACAACCCTATGGGCCTTCACGGCCTGTTACAGGGATAGCTTTACTTTTACTTACTTTATGATTTTGAACTTTAGGTTTTCTACTCACACTTAATACAGGGAATATTGAATCATAAAAATGTTTATAAATTTATATTTTTTACAACCTAGAAGATCATACTCTCCAAAATTAATTTGTTTTTGTGTTTTGCAGATTGGTAGTGAAACAGATGATGCTCAACAGAAGGCAAATGAGACTGTGAGAGGAGTGATCATGCTTGAAAGTCATCTCAAAGAGCTTCAGACAAGATTTCTGAAAAACAGTCGTGATTCTAAAGAAGTTACAGAAGAAGCAGAGAAAGTTAATAAAGAAGCGAGACAAGCAAATGACAAAACTGGTGATCTGGAAAGCAAGCACCAGGCAGCTGCTGGAAAGTTAGAGCAGAAGGTGGAGGAATCAGCACGGGACCAGAAGAAGGCATCACAGCTTCTTGAGAGAGCAAGTAAATTGTTTCACAGTACCTCAGCCAAACACAAGGAACTCTTAGGTAAGTAAATTCTATGGACAGAAATACTAGCCTAGTACCCACACTCAGTGTTATCAATAATACAGTCAATTTTATAAAGAATGCTTACCCTCTAATGTAGGAAGTCTGAATGCATGCCACATATTGTACATATCAGTTTTGTGGCAAGGAAATTATCAGTGAAATTTGCTTTGTTTAATAATAAATTTGCTTTTAATGGGTAGTGATAGTGTAATTTTGCATGGCACATATTTCAACAGAAGTTGTTCAAACCAATGCCTAAATTTCTGTATTAAAATTAGATATGAACCTTGCTGCATGTACTTCTGTTGTTGATTATTGTAGATTGTGTAATGTAGATATGGGTGACTTGAGTTGTATAATAATGACAAAGGCTATAATAATAATAATAATTTTGGTTATACTTAAGAAAATCCTGGTTTGTCTTTGTAAGTCTAAAGTTATACAGACACTTCCTTCGGTGCACTGGAAATTTAAATTCCATCATGACTGCAAACCATGTGTTTATTTTTTTGCCCAGGGAATGAGATTCTGTCCTATTGTTCCATAGATCTACATTTTATTTCACACTAAATAATGAAAAATGACCATATTGTTTCATTGTTCCTACGCCAAGCAACTTGCGTGCTTTGTATATATTTACTCTTTGGTAGTAGAAACCATAGGTTCAACGCTACAATGAAATCTGAATTTGAGATTCATTTGTGAGCAATGTATTTGAATACTATGCTGAGAAAACCTGGAATGGAGGTAATTCACTGCTGAAACTGTTATCTTGAGATTACTGAAATTGAACATTATATGAGGGAAGACTTAAAATTGAAGAACTTTAAATGGGGATTCCACAGTAATATTAAAGCTTGCCACTGGATATGACCAAGAGTGAGTTCTATACACTTCCCATTCTCGAGCCTTTCTGTGACATCCCTTTCAATTTTATCTCATTTCCTTCCTTGTATTCCAAGCATCTGCTCTTCAAGAGGTTTCTCCAGATCAAGTCTGTTTATAATTTGGAATGCCAGATTTAGTGTTTTTTTCTTTTTTATTGCTAGTGGGACAGGACTAAGTCCCTTGTAGTGCGGCCACTTCTGGCCTATTATACCAGCCCCGATGATAGATGAGGGTGATTGTGGAGCAGTTGGTTTGTACTAAGTTATCTAAATGTATTTCTGCTTCACACTTGTGCTTTCTTACTGTTCTCTTCCATTTCCTTTATATTTATTTACTTATGTACCTTGCTGTTTTATGTCAGTGATCTTTATTTTTATATCCTGCTGTCATCGTTAGAGATATGTCTGCACCAGTATCCCTGAATCTATTTTCTACAATTTCATCACTGTAAATCTTTATTCCTTCACACCTCAGTGTGTGGCTGGCTCCAGTCTTTCTCTTTGCTACGTGTGGGGTAAATTCCCTGTTTGTTTTTTCTAACCCCCTCCAGGCTCCAAACTCCTGTTTTCCTACTGTTCCTCTCCTGGCACCACCTGCATCACCCCCCTCCCCAGTCTAGTAGCTATGTGTTGATTTATGTAAGTAGTCTTATAGTGGCCAAATAGGCTGAAACATGTTGCTATAAAGAAGGTGCATACAGTCAGTGCAATTGTATACAAGTATAGTTGTGTGTGATGGAACGTCATATATGAGTAGTACTAAACACATGATGCTTAGGTGTAGTATTTGACATGTTACGTTGTACTGTAGTGAGATAATTTATATTTTCACCTTTGTATTTATAATTATAGTTAAACTGCAGAATATTTTAAATTTTGTTAATTGACTACTTATGTATACATGTTTCAGGCATGAAAACAGACTATGAAAATAATGAAGGTATCCTGAATGATTTATCAGATACAATTGATGATTTGAATAGAAGAATAGTGATTGCACACAAAAACATTAATTCAAGATCGGAATATTATCGCACATGTGTGTCTTAAGGGCTGTGAAGTGCCAGGGGAGTGATATGTATTCTTTACATCAGTCCAAGATTTAAGTGTGCCAAAACCTGTGTTTTATATTGTAATCTGTGGGACAGCCAGACTATTTTATACCACTCACTCATTTACTGAAAGTATTCAAACTGCCATTTTATTTCTCATTTTGCTTTCGTCACAGTGTTATGTATGAACATAGTCTTAGTTTTTTATATACCAGCTTTTCCACTTTTGTACTTTCCATTGGTTAATAGATGTAGTTAATTACCTAAATGTAGTGTGATCAATGACAACAGTATATTCATCGTCTCTCTGTGAAAAGTACCTCTAGTATAACTTATCCATACTTCAGTTCATTAAATAAATTAATAATAGCCCTATGCCATATTGTATTAAGTAGTGTGTACATGTAATGAACATTCCCTAGAATCTCTTTAGCAGCACCATCTTCCATTTTTTTAATTTGTACTCAAAGAGGTAATATTAGTCTTCAATATTTTCACAATTTTTAAGTCTTATTTATTATACTTCAGTGTTTTAAAGATAAGATATTTTTAATTTGTATAATTGCAAGAAAATATTTCATAAGAAGAAAGCAGTCTTCTGGGATTTGGCACCGTGTATATGTGGTGTTAACCGACGTTTCGGAGGAACGTATCGCCTCCATCTTCAGGGTAGAAGAAAAAAGTAGAAGAAATCTGCAAGCAACAAGACCGTGAGAACGGTAAAATTACCGTTCTCACGGTCTTGTCGCTTGCAGATTTCTTATACTTTTTCTTCTACCCTGAAGATGGAGGCGATACGTTGGTTAACACCACATATACACGGTGCCAAATCCCAGAAGACTGCTTTCTTCATAGTCACCACCGTGAAAGCCTCAAATCTTAAATATTTCATACTTTAATCAGCACTGTTACGAGTAATCTGACAGAATACATATCTGGAGATCTGTGGTACCAGAATGCCTAGAAAAGTTTTGGTGGTAAGAAATGGGTTTTTGTAACTCTTACAAAGTTTCAGTTCACTAGTTCATTGTAATTTCTTATGGTGATCATTATAAAATGAGAGGGTTGTGCAACTATTATAAAAGAGCATTTTGCATTATTAAATGTAGCTTCTCTGCATTGTGTTCTGAACAACCCTCATGTATTGTACTTATTTGCATATGAGTGTCTTGTGCAGCTTGTGAGGTCTTCTGGACCCACATATATCCAATAAAAATAAATGCAATTAATAGTGACACTGTATATACATTTGTTGCTAATTGCAACACAAACATTTGAAGAGAATTACTTTTCTGATATCAAACATCATTCATACATTAATTGATATGAGTACTCTTTCTCCAGACCACATGCTTTCTGAAGAGTTCTGTCTTCTGGGATATTAACATTATGTAGCCTGTTGAAAGTCAACGAGCACTTCAGAGGAATTTGTCACCTTAATATTCAAGGTTGAAGAGTAAGCCAAGCAAGAAACCAGCATGAAGCAGGTAGCAAGCCCCACTTACAGATTTCTTGCTTGGCTTAGTTAGGCCGCACACCGGCAAGTGTCAAGACATGTAACAGTCAAGGCACGATGTCGGCGACAAGACACAAAGAAAGGAGCACAGTTGAAACGAATGAGATATGAAAACTGCCGCACATCTATTTGAGCCATGATGCTGACGTCATGACTCAGACCAGTGTGCAGCATACCTTATTGTTTGACCCTGAAGATGGAGGTGAGATATTTGTCTGAAATGTTGGTTAACTTTCAATTGATTATGTGGTATTATATCCTAGCAGATTGGGCTCTTCAGAACTGCTGCTGTGAGAACCTCAACTCCTGCACATATCCCTCCCCCAAGGGAAGAATTATTTCAGGTATGAGATTGGAAGTTCTCACTGCAATATTAAGATTATGGTCTTCTGGAATGTGATGCTGTGTAGTTTGGAACCTGACATATCCATCTGCAGGTTAGACGGTACATATTTATAAACTGTATGGCATCTCATCTCAGAAGGATGTAATCTTTCATTTCTTCTCTTTCATAGGGTATTTTCTTTTAAATTATCATGTCTTCACACCTGCTGTATTATTTGAGTTGGGCCTATCTTTGCTTCTGTTCTTACCAAATATAATGGTTATACATTCTTCTCATTCAGACTAAATTAGAGGAAGGACCAAGTAGGTCCAGCATGTCATAATAATTAATTTTCTGAATTTGTGTTTCATTAACCCATAGAGATCACTTTTGTAATCCAGATCTTCTTATGTGGTGTAGTCAGATAATTTCTAGATTGTTATTTTTCCCATGATAACTGAATTGCTCTATGTTCCGTGTTGTGCCTTCAAAATAGTTCTCCTGCAACTTCAAGCACCATGTCCAGCAGTTGTACCATTGTTGGAAGAATTTGCAGAAGCCCTTTGTTTTGAATTTGGAAAGTATGGCCTGTGATTGTTCTTGAATCTTGAAGATATCAGATCTCCTTCTCTTCAGTGCCAACTTGAGTGTCAGAAAAATAAAAAAGTCACGTGTCATTAGGTGGGGGTATGCAGTAATGTAGTTGGTTGAGGCCCTATGCTACAAACTGGAAGGTTGTGTGTTCGATTCTGATGAGGTCATTTGATTTTTTTTCAATTTACCTAAGCCTTCCAGCTGCACTGTGGCCCTGGAATTGACTCAGCCTCTAAGAGAAATGAGTACCAGGAATCTTCCTGGGAGTAAAGTGCGGCTGGCTTGTAAGGCTGACAATCTTACCACAATTTGTGAGCCAATTGTCTAGAAGATGTAGTAGCCTCAACCTCTCGCAACCCTATGGGCCTCCATGGCCTCTTACAGGGATAACTTTACCTTTATGTCATTAGATATAATTATAGAAGATGCAGGAGAACAGAATTCATTCACAGACATGATTCTGCTTTTGCTGCTTTGTCAGCAGATAAGACATGAATTTCACAGTAATCCAGTGCATGTTCAGAGCTTGTATGAAAATGCTTTGGCACGTTGGAAATCAGATTCCTATCTTATTACCCAAGCGTCTGATAATAAGTAAATTTTCATGAAGTTCTATGAACGGTGCCATATTTTCTTCTGCTTTGCTTGTGGATGGATGTGCTGAAAGCTTAGCATCATTAGCTGTTTCAACTGTACTTTTGGATTTGGAAAACAGGCAAATGATTGAGTTTTGTTCATTGTTTCCTTTCTGAAAGCAAGTTTTAACATCTTGTAGGTTCTGTGGCAGTTTTGTTGAGTGTGAAGCAGAACTTGAAGTACATGCACTGTCTTTTTAAAGCTTCCATTTTCTGATAAAATGCATATCACAAAGGGCACAACATACAACCTCACCTCAAAGATATTATATTTGAATGATGCAAGTTAGAGCTTTGTTACTATGACATGAGGGCTTAAAGTCTTGAATTTTGACACCAGTTGTCATGTATCCATTGACTATAGTTCTATCACTGCCCTTGTGTCACAATATGAATAGCAAATGACTCAGTGGATTCTACTGCACATTCACCTAGAAGAGTTATTTTGTCTAACTAGTGGTGTCATATGGCCAGTCTGGAAACTGAGACCACCGTATACACATGCTCAGCAGTATCATTATCAGTCAACTGCTAAATGTAACTCTGTCATGTACAGTGGAACCTCGCTTAACAAGCATAATTCATTCCAGAATCTTACTTGTAATGCGAAACACTCATTAAGCGAAACAATTTTTCCCATATAAATTAATGTAAAATACAATAATGTGTTCTATGCCGAAAAAACACTCAAAAAATTTTATGTATAACGTTTATTCAAAGAAAATTATATATATATTGTTAAGGAGCATGAATCATCTTCATCTTTTCTTTTATGTGGAATGAAAGAACCTGGAACAGGAATTCGATTTGCAGAAAAAAAATCGAAATAATTAGTTTATTATTTATGATACATATCTAATTCTTTTTTACTAGAAAGCTGTCTAGAGACACATGTTTTTGCCTTACAATGCTGTGGATGCCGGTTCTTCTCTTAAACTTCTCGAACCACCCACGGCTTCCCTTAAATGCTTCTTCTTCGGCCGTTGATGATCCTGGTGTCTTCATAACGAGGTCGGCAAAAATCACTTTCGCCTTCTCACAAATGATGTTCTCTTTAATAGTGTCACCTTGCAATTACTTTTTGTTTATCCATATGAGGAGCAACCTTTCAACATTGCCGAGAATACGTAACTGTTGCGTAGATATTCTTATCACTCCCTTTGAAGCATCTGTCTCCTTAATCTTGCCCTTGTTCTTGAGGATAGTGTAAATCGTTGATGTAGACCAATTGTATGTGCATGCTAGATCAGCCACACTCACACCCCGTTCTCGATTTTCAATGATTTTACATTTCATTTCTACGGTTATTTTTGTTCTCTTATGGCTGTCTTTTTGTGGCTTTTTCTTCTGGGACATTTTTGCGAGGGTTATTAAATTTTGCACAAAAAAAATCACAAATAATATGTCTGAACACAAGTTTGGAAAAATGTGTCATCACAAGCAACACTAAGATGCTCGCAGAATGAGTGCTAAACACAGACTGATTTGGCAAGCGCACAATCAGGGACTTCCCCTCTCGTCACTCGTTATGCGAAATGTCGCTCGTTAAGCAAGTCATTTTTTTTACAATTTGTTTTGCTCGTTATGTGAATTACTCGTTATGAGAGGTCCTCGTTAAGTGAGGTTTCACTGTACTTGCAACCTTTTGAACTTATATACTTATAATGTAGGAATGTGCAGATCATTGGTTTTATAAATCAGAACACTTCTCTGGCCATTATTTTTTTTCATTTGACTTTCCTGTGAAGTTACTGCCATCAATTTCTGTGACAAGTTCTTGCCTTAAATCCCTTCCTGTGGTTAATTTTCATGTCCATCATACAAGTACTGTTTGTGTTTAATTAATATAAGTTCATATTTATTATCAAGGTCTAAACAAGTTATCTCAATATGGAAACTTTTGAAATGGGAATCAGCTGGTGATAAAACTTTGTTCTTCATCCTGAAAAGTGTTAGGCCTTAAGTCTTGGATTTTCCCACCTTCTCTTCAGCCAACATCTTTTCGTATATTTTTTCTATTTCAGACGTCCATATTTAACAGTAGAGTATTGTATCTATGCCACATCATGAAATTAGGAGTTACATCGCCACACTTCAAGTGCAAGCCCTTTACCTCCAGACTCTAATGTTTTCAATGTGGATTTATCAGCTCCAATTTTCTCACATAATGTAACGTGATAAGTGACAATACACATGTTTTGGAATGATAGCTGGATTTATTGGACACTTGTACAGCTCATGACTACACTTGATAGATTATATCACGCACAGACTAGTGAACAGCTTCCAACAGTAGACGTTCCTCTGCTTCTGGGATCACGTCCATGCAGGCTGGCAACCATGTCATGCCAGCCTCATTCTGATTGTTGGCCTCAGCTGGTACTTTCTTCAGCAGCTAGTGCCCAAGTTGAACTGATCTGGCCTTGAAATGCCAACCTCTAAATTCAGCTGCCAGTTCTTGACTGACTTCTGAGCTGGTCTGTGGTCCCCTTATATGCCTTCAGCATGGACTGCATAGAAAACAGCACTTTCAGCAGTTCCTCTGTTCTTGCATGCATCCCTGTTGCTGTGGGAATGTGGCATGGGCCATGTAGAAAACACAGAGTCACATGTGGTTACCATGCTGTTCCCTAGTAATGGCTCCACAGTTCTTGTTTTGAGCAAATATGCCACAATATATACTTATTATAAATTACATTATTTGCTCTCTTAAGGAAGCAGTTGTATTTCTTCTATTTATTTATTTTATTTATGGTTCATTTAATGACACTGTCAGTGGCTGACAATATGTAGTGATGACTGGTAGGCTGGTTAGTGAATCATGAATTGGAAAGGCTGTGGAAGAAAGTGGTTGTTGCCAAATCTGAAGCACCTTCTCAGAATTTGTCTGGAAGAAGTGAGGAAAACCGTGAAAACCCTGAATCTAGATATTCAGTGTCCTGAATGAGATTCTAACCAAGCACCTCCTGAATACAAACTGAAAGTGCTACCACTTGAGTGAGCTTGCGTGATTTGTGTGTATCTCTGCTGTGCTGTGAATTTTCATCTTTTATTTGTGTTCTTGTTTATTACAAGTTACAGTTATATATTTTACATTAAATTATTGAAATGGGCATGGTGTCACTACTGGCTTTTAAGGAGGGTCAAGATCAGGTGCCCTCAAAACTCCGTGATTTCAGTCCGCAAGCGAACCATACTGACCTAGCGACCGCTGCTTGTCGACGCAGTTTCGTGCCAACTTTTGCGGTTAGAGGTGTTGCATGGTCAGCGCAGAGGATCCTCACGGCTGTTAAATTCGGTTTTCTAGAGGCTGAGTGGACCCCGTTCCAGACCCACTACTTCTCTGAAAAAATCTGGTAGCTCCAGGAATCGCACCCGGACCTCTGGATCTGTAACCAGGAACGCTGACCACTAGGCCACAGAGGTGGTTGATCATGTGTCCTCTGCTGTGGTAATGCCAGTTGAACAGTGCACACTAGGAATGTCTCAGAAATCAGAGCAAGCAGAATTGTTTAAAGTGTTTATAACTTCAGAGATATTTCTGAGCAGCATGAACTTGAAAGTATAAATTTCCACAATACAAGAAATAACAGCAAAGGCACCAAACATCATAATAAAATGGGTATCATTTCTGTTTAATATTTAGAAGATCCCAGGTTCATATTTAGGCCCAGAGGCAAACTATCATGACTGAGGTTTTTCCATGTTTTTTCCCTCACCTTTCTTAGAAAATACAAGGGCAGTTGTCACTGATCTCTGTTGGTGGACCAATAGCCTTTGTGGGATGCATTCACTGGGTGATGGATGGGGAACCGATCAGATATGGCCAGGTGATCTGAATATGTTGAGTGAGAACCCACAGTCCAACAAGGAGCCCAGTTCCTGGGAACTTTAAAATAATGGGGCACCTTCTCTCTTGTGGTCATATATATGGAGGGAGGCATGTCCAGAAGCATTAAGGAGACATTACTGGTTGGGCAAACAGCCTGTAATGAACAAGAAATGAAAATAGAATTGAAAGAGAAAGCAGTAGATTTGTGTGCAGTATCACAAACTAAGAGAAAATGAAAGGGGACTCTTTCATATGACAATTACTCGTACATTTTAACATTCAGTGGTATAGTGATGGGTGAGAGACTGGACAGACTGGTTAAATTCCCAGCAAGGACAACAGATTTTTCTCTATTTTACAAGGTCCAGACTGGCTCTGGGGCCCACCCAGCCTCCTACATATTCAGTACCAGGGGTTCTTTCCCCAGGGATAAAACAGCCAGATTGAGAACCTGACCTCTTTACCTTCATCTAATGCTGAGGTCAAGAATGGTCAAGCCTTACCTCCAGTCCTCCGTACATCATCATGTTGTGGTGTTTAATTAATTAAGCCCATGGACAGCTTTGCCTTTTTCACCTTTCAGTGGAGTACTTAAGAAAAAAAGAAAGATGGTGGTGGTGGTGATGACAACGGTGGCGGCGGCGATCATTTTATATTGTACATAATGCATAAGAGAGTGAGAGGTGAGGGTAGTAGGCTGGGACTTTTCAGTGATCTGGCAAGGTATTATCATATCACAGTTCTCAGAACAGTTTGTGTAACGCTAAATAGAAAATAATTTTTGTTTTCTTCTCCATGTTATAAAATTATTGGGTCATAAAACTTAATCTCTGCCCATGAAAGACGAGTCAAACCGGACCAGTTAGTTTCCTTATTACACTATGGCAACAACTTTTGTATTCTTTGGCTAGTACAAAATTCGTCTCGGATCATATATTCGTGTCGTTTGTGACTGCTGACTGTTACGATAATGTGACGAATCTATCCGCTTATCTCGCCGTCTAATTTTGCCGGTTTCTTGATTGTCTTACTCTTCGACCCTGAAGATGGAGACGATATATTCCCCTGAGACGTCAGTCGCTGTCTTCGAACTTTACGGTGTTACACCCCAGAAAATCCTACTTTTGATGAAGTCATGCCTTCTACGATATAACGCCGTGTAGTCCGTTGAAGATGAACTGACGTTTCAGGGGCACATATGGTCACCAGCTTCAGGGTCGAAGATTAAGCCAAGCAAGACAGAGTGAAGCAGGTAGCAAGCAGAGCCAGAGAATGGAGGCGACATGTTGCTCCGAAACGTCGGTTAACTTTCAACGGACTACACGGCGTTATGTCCAAGACGATTTAACTATTCATATCCACCGCCGTGAGAACCTAGAATTCAAGCACCCAACATGTTTATATCGTTTATATGTATGTTGGCTACATTGATTGCTTCGTTTAGTATTGTGCACTCTACTGGCAGAGAAACGAATGAAAGCTATTCCTGGTTTGGAGTTGTTGGGGAGAGGAGGTCTTGGAGCTAGTGTGTTGCTTGGTCGCGTAAACTTGATAGCAGGGTTGTGAATTCGTGTATTTAACTTGCAGTTTGTTCTCAAAACGTTCAAAATGCCTGTTTTTCACACTAAAACTATTGAAAGTATTTTAGAACCTGTAGCACAGCAGGTAAGGTATTTATTTAGAAGGTAGTTTAAGTTTTGCTTAATTCTTGGTATTTCTGATCAAGTGCTATCACGTCATCATCATTTCCAGCATGCACGAAAATCTAGACCATTTAATTGAACACTTGGAAGCTATTTAAAATATTACGTGTTTATATTATTCCAATTCGGCAAGTATAAGAAACTAATGTATTGTTAACATGTTATAATAAATGGGCGTGCCTCTGTTTAATTTGACAAATCGTGTTGGTGTTGAAATCACGTGACTAGACGTCACTAAATAAACGTTCGGTGACGTCACATGAGCTGCATTGCCATATATAGATGTGATGGTACAATATATCTCCTGAAGCAGATTTTGCTTAAGAGCAGCATTATGTTATTAGTTACATGAAATGTTGTAATGTTTTCGACAACGCCCTTCTATTATGTCGAACTGTTGTATAATAAGCTTTCTGAGTGTATAGGTGTGATGCTGTATAGCGTAGCAGTTTAATTACTTGACCTTACGATTGGGTTATATGTAGAAGCAGTACTTCTGATACTTACGTAAACGACCTGGGCACCAATTTCTTGAGTTTATATTATTTCATTTATTTTTGATGGAAAGCAGCATTATGGTAAAAAGGTAAAGATGCCCCTGTGCACAATTAACCAGTTCAGCACTACGCCAAGAAGACGTAAGGGGAGTGGATTTATAGCTCCACCATTCTTGACCGCAACACTATATGAAGAGTAAATGCTTAGCTCCATGGTTCTGCCAGTCCCCCCACCCCCCGGAAACATCACCGGGTACCCATTGGTTAGGGGGCTAGCTGGCCCTCAAAGCCAATGTGGGCTTTACAGTGAAGAGAAAAACTTACCCTTGCCGGGAGCCAAACCTTGGCCGTCCAGCCCATAGCCGGCCCAACTGAGCTTTCCCAACTTATTTTAGTAGAAATTTAAAGCCCTTATTACCAAAGGCTACCATCAGACAAACTTCAGCCAGTTTAATCAAGACATTCTCACAGTTCATTGATTAATTATCAGTGTTAAAATTACATGTTCAGCCCATATTCTGTGTTCTACCAAACACCATATGAAAGCACCAGAGGCTACACAGGTTCGTCTGAACAGTTATGCTCCAGGAGCTGATTACTGTAAACAAAATTTGGCAAAAGATGGGTGGGTATCATTGTCAAAAAGGATGTAAATTTCAGAAAAATAGATGTGCAGGATCACCATTAGACTCCATGCATGCTGCTAGCCGTGCCATTTGAATGTTGCCACTGCATGCATCCCATTTCATTTCTGAATCAACGGCGGCTTCATCAGTGGCCTCTACTAACTGATAACTTGCTTCTGGTTTACCACCTTCATTCACTCTTGACCTCATGCAATAAACCTGTTGGGTTTAAGTCGGGAGACCACGCTGTCCAAGACACCGGTTCACCTCTTCCTGCTCATTTTCCGTCATTCGTTTAGAAATTCCATTGCTACTCTTCAGAAATGTGAAGGTTGTCTGCCTTTTTGTATCCACATTCGTCGTCGTGTTGCAAGATGCGAATCTTCAAAATACAGCGGTGATTAATGTTCCGGATAATTCCCGTAATACGGAGGTGTTAAACGTTCATCGATAACATATGGTTGTCAGGTTATTGCCTAGTACTCCACACTACCCATTTACTGGAATTCGGTGTTGAAAATGACATTCTTCTGCCTCAAGTGGCTTTTCGTGTTCTCAAGAGTGCGGATTCCTTATGTTGGTAGTGCCATCCAGGGTAAATTGAGGATCATCCGTGAACAAATGTCACGCAGAATGTACAGCCATGGTTGCAGCCATTCACAAAATCGTACAGGTTTGGCGTGATCTCCCGGTAAGAGGTGCTGTACTCTTTGGAGGCGATACGGATAGAAACCACCGCGGTGCAAAATTCTCCATAACCTGTGTTTCTGCTACACCAGTTGTCCTGGAACTTCTGCGCGTACTTGCACTTCGGCTTCGCTGCACTACTGCCAGAACGTCATCTCGGTCATCTCCACGCTGCCGTTCACGTCCTGCACTCGCTTGCGGGAAGGAACCAGTCTCCTTCAAAGTTTTGTGTACGTTCTCAGATGTTTGGCTATGTGGAATTCTGCGAAGTGGATATTGTTGCCGCTATTAGGCCCCCCATACACACAGTTTGGCCTTCCGATCGACCTTACAGGCAAAACTGTGACAGTTTACCCCCTCCATTTCCTCCCCATACACGCGCAGATAAAGCGGCAGGCTTCATGCCACAATCACGGTCTTCCAGCCTATAATGTTGAGTCACGTCACGTGCTACGGTCCTGCAGGCAGAACTGACGGACTGACGGGTTTCCCACGATCCAAAAGTCCAAACGATTGGCCGGCCGGCCGCACCACACACGTCAGTTTTGCCTTTCAGTCTTCAACTGTGCAGGCCGAACTGGAGGCCATACTGTGCGTGTATGGGGGCCCCTACACCACAGCGGCCCTACCATTTTAATTACAAAATCCGCGTACGAAATGCATATCGGCGTATTTGTCACTTATAAGCTAATTAGGAATTTTGGCTACGACCTCAGCGCAACACGACACGGCCACAGTGGCGTAGACAATGTACACGCAGGAACTCGGTCAAGTCGCAGCAGTTCCAGTTCGCTCCTCTAGCGCTTAACTCGATAACGATGCAGAACCGACCTATAGTTTATTGGATTTGGGGGAAGGGGGGCTACAAATAACCAGCAGAACACGCTCTTCAAGTTTGGCCGAAACGTCGCGGAACAACCTGTGTACAGAGCACCAACAGGTGATTTTGAACAGCTAATGAATAAGTCACAAAATATTACAATATCACCCGTGGTGACATAAATATTGGCACGTGTTAGTGACAAGACAGGGGGTTTGGATTGGTAATTGGATTTATCGGACCTTTATATTTCGTAACTACAAATTATTATAACACTCTCGCCAATTCACGCACTCGACTTCTCACCACAACACACACTAAATCTTAGTTTTTCTTCACTAGCCGTTACTAGGTTACGGATCCCAATAATCTAGATTCCTCAATTTCAATGTTCACGTCCTTACTGGCTTGCAGCTGTCTCACATCTAAACTGTTGACTTCGAAACTAACTTCAAGTCGAAGTCACATTACGACTGACGGTCAGACGACCAACCAGTCATGGTGTCAAGCCCCATCTGAGGTCCAAGACCAGATTTTTGTTACTGTTAGGCAGCTGCGGTTTTGTCGACGTGGAGCACCCTCTGTGACGAGAGGATGGGTCTGTCATCTGTCACGTCCATAGGCAGCAGAACATGACATCTATATGTACAGTTTTAATTGTCGGAATTCTACATAATGATGTGTCAAGAGTCCGGTTCTTTGTGGATACATATTTAGAGTTTCATGTGTAATTCAGCATGTGTATAGATAGTTGTAGGAAAGATCACATTCCTATTGGACTAATGATATGTCATAATGCTCAGCTACTTATATCAATATACAATGTAGAGTCGATTTTAAATTATCATTATCACTAGAAACAAACTAAGCATCTAAATATTGACACTGTTGAAGAATTTACAGCAATGTAATTCATGAAAATCAGGAATCAGTATTCTAACTTTTATTGTTATTTGGATCAGTTATTGTATCTCTTTCAGTATCCTCATTTTGTCTTGATGTCAGATGATATTTATCCACTCATTATTGCACCGTAACACCACAGCACTGCTTTCTTTTTGCACCTTCTTTATGCATTATACTGAACCAGCTTCTCAATTCACAGCACACTCTTCACCATGTTTACACACATCCCCACTCTACCACCATTTAGCCGGGACTTCTGTCGTAGAATTTGCAGCCAACTGTTGTATTGTGTCACATCTTCTAGAATTGCCTGTTGGTTGCATGAGCAGTCAGAACAGTCTGGAAGGAATCATAATGCTTCTATCGCATAGGGGCACTTGCACCACTACGATGCGCACTGCTACTCTCCTTGCTCACCTTCTATGACACTGCTTCCTCCTCAAGGCTCATCATCCTCAGTAGCCCCTAGATACGGCGCCAGTTTTTAATAATGCACTGCCATAGTCTTTGCTCTTGGATAATGGTGGATATTATAGATCACTTCCCTGATCCATGTGGCCACTTTGTAAGAGTCTTCCCTGGATGGCTGCAGCTTCGGAGACTTCCCTTTAGTCTGGGTCGAGTGGTAGAACCAAACCTGGCCCTCTTCATGGAATCCAGGGTAGGCGGTCGTAGCGGGCCTTCATCATGTCGCTGGCCACCTTCAGATTTTTACCAACGTCAGTGAGGTCTGCTACATAGTCGGTTGTAGGTTGCTTCTTGTGTGAGGTGACTCCAAACAGCAGGTTGCAGTGCAGACATAGCTCCTTCCCAAACACCATTCTGGCGGGCGTCGTGGTTTTGGTCTCATGTGTGGATGCCATATAGGCCAACCTGAAGGTTAGCCTCTCTTCCCAATCTGGTACATTGAAACAACTTTCCTCGGGTCTCCTGTCTCGGCATAGCGTTCCACAGTGCTATCATACTGTGGATAAAAAGGGGTGTTGCTCCTCTTGCACACTCCGAGGCGCTGTAAGACTACCTGTAGCAGTCGCTAATCCAAGGTCCGGCCTTCTTCGCTCTGTAGTTCTCTCGAGAACCTGAAGTGGCAGAAGAAGTTAGTCACAAGAGGTTCCGCAACCGGCTATACTCCTAGGCTAAGGATGGCGTAAGCATCCGGCTACTTGGTGAAGTAATCTATAATGATCAGAAGGTACCAACTCCCTCTTGCTCTCTGGAAATAAAATTGTCCTTCGATGTAAATGGTGATCTTTTAGAACAGTGCCCCATCATTATACCGGTACATCAGACTCTAGCTCCATGTTCAGGGGCCTCTGTTTGCTTCGTAGTTGTCCCATTATTGGTGGTACCCCTCTTATCTTGCTTCTCCTTTGTAGCCAGCCGTGCCGTTGTCTCGTCTTTTCCATGTTTTTTTTGACACCGAGAT